ACACTCTGTCTTGCGCAAAGCGGCCGAGATCTTCATGACTGACCGCAATCTGGACAACACCACTGGAGTCCGAATGGCTCTGACCTATGTGTTGCCCCAGATCAACTCTTCGACAACGGTGGCTGGCTTCAGCCCTATGCAATGGGTCCTGGGCAAGCAGGTGACACTACCTGGTGAACTTTGTGGTGAACGACTTTCACCTGGCCAACTCGATGGCTACAACTTTGAGAACGTTCTCAAGAACCGCACTGCCGCCAAGACAGCTCTGGCTCAGGCCGAAGAGGACTCCAAGCTCCGAAGAGCACTACTCCGACAGTACCAAGGCACCAACTTCCCAATCGAAGTTGGACAGCTTTGCCACTTTTGGCGTGATCAGAGGGAGGACAAGCTCACCAAGATCAGATGGCACGGTCCTGCACGTGTGGTGATGCGAGAAGATGATGATCAAGGAGCACCCCACACCTACTGGCTGGCTTGGAAGACACAACTGCTGCGATGTGCACCACATCATGTGCGTGCTGACCTAACGTCCATGGCTAACCAGATCGAGGACGCCAAGGAGGCCAAGAAAGCCGTTGCTGGACTTCGCTCACGTGGTGTGACGCGCTTCTTGGACTTGGAGCGCATCAACAAGCACAACTTGGACGACTTGGATGATGATGAGATGAGCGATGGAGCAGGAGACGATGATGACGATCTCCAACCACCACGACAACGGCGACGCCTTGAAGGCCCTGCTCTACCTGCACAAGGTCTTCCTGCACTACCTGGTCTTGGCGACCCTGATGATGGCCCACGCACACCTGGGTACTCACCTGGCACACCTGTGGATGAGAATGCCCCCACTGAGGTGGTCCCCAGTGATGATGATGCGATCCTTGTGGATCAAGATGCAGCTGCACACCTTCCAGTGCCAGAGCCTGATGAGCTTGAACCTGGACAAGAACCCTCTGTGCCACCGACACCAGCTTTGGCTGCTGCGTCGAGACCGGCTCTGACTTTGGACCCTGAAACGGCCGCTCTCTACGAGCCTGCCCCTGATGAGACCTTCAACCAGATGCGTCGACGATTTGACGCTCAGGAAAGCTCTCTCTTTGGTCCAATGAGGCGCAGACACAGACTTCCAGCGCCCTATGAAGAACCACACCGAGCTCCTCGGAGTTCCCAACCACCACAACCTGCTGAACCTTCTCTACCTCAACAGCCTACTGAAGAACAAGCTCTCTTCAACCATGCCTTCACGGTCACCGACCTTGATGCCGCTGAGCTTCCTCAGGGATGGCATGTTGATGAGCAAGGCTACATCCAGCTCGACCTCTCCAAGATGGAAGACTACTGGGAGGTGAAGTCAGGCTGCCTGATCAGGCATCACCTTCGACCTCGGCGACTACTACATGAGTTTGCTCCTGGTCCTGACTGCCCTGTCACAGCTGACATGCTGGATCCAATCCGGGTGACGATGATGAGATTGCCCAACGGCACCACCAATGTCATGACTAACAACATCAACACCCGAGAAAAGCCTATGCCCACAACATGGACTGGCATCACAGTCTACCAACTGACTGGCAAGGTTCGCAAAGAACATGCTATGATGGCTACTGCCATGCCTGCGAAAAAGGTGGCCAGACAGCACAAGCACATGACTGCCAAGAAGATCGGCAAGAAACCAGCCGAACTTTCAGAGCGCAACATGTCGCTTTGGGAAAAGGAGCAGTTCATGGCTGCGAAGGCAAAAGAGCTGAAGAGCTTCTTTGAGCACGGCGTGTGGGAGTTCTCAACAGAGAAAGAGGCCGACCCGACACGGACACTGTCATCAAGGATGCTCCTGAAGTGGAGTCGCAATCCTGATGGGTCCCCTCGTGCCAAAGCCAGGCTGATAGTCCGTGGCTATGCTGACCGAGATGCCTTGGAAGGCCGGGTCGAGACTTCAGCACCCACTACGTCGAGGCTCAGCAGATCAATGTTCTTGAGTTTGTCAAGCTGTTTGAAATGGTCTGGATGGACGGCTGATGTGTCCATTGCCTTCTTGCAAGGTGTCCCACAACAGCGACGCCTTTGGGTCAAACTCCCAGCTGATGCTCTGGCGATTTTGGGCTGTGAACCTGATGTTCGCATGTTCCTCCACAAGCCGATCTATGGTCAGCTGGATGCGCCCCGAAGATGGTTTTTGGAGGCCTCACGCCGACTACTTGGTTTGGGTTTCAGAGTACACCCTCTTGACCCTTGCACCTTCCTGCTCTACGAGCAAGACTTTCCTGAAGGTCGTGAACAACCTGCACCACCTGAAGAGCTACTTGGACCTCACGGACTTTGTGCTATGGTTTGCATCCATGTGGATGACATGCTGGGTGGTGGCTCTACGAGTTCAAAGGTGTATCAGGCCAAAGAGGCTGAGCTCAAGCAAGCCTTCAACTTCAGAGAATGGCAGACTGATGCCAAGCTGGAATACTGTGGAGCTTCTTTGGAAAAGACTCCAACTGGTGGCTGGGCTCTTCACCACGACCCCTTCCTGAAGAAGGTCAAGCCGATCCCTGTGGCACGTGGACGCGGTCCTGATGATGTGATGACTCCTAGCGAGACATCTCAACTACGAGCTCTACTTGGCTCACTGCAATGGCCTGCAGTTCAAAGCCAACCGCACTTGCAGTGCTCTACTTCCTTGCTTGCCAGCAACATCAGCGCTGGACTGGTTCGAAGCCTTCAAGAAGCAAACAAGCTGTTGAAGTTCGCCAAGGACAACAGCGATGTGAAGCTTTGCTATGAGCCTCTGGGTGCTGTGGACTCACTGCGCTTGGTTTGCCAGTTCGATGCTGCCTTCGGCATACGCCGAGACTACTCCTCACAAGGAGGCTGGATCACAATGCTGATCAACCAGAAGGCCTTTGATGGACAAGAATGTCCATACCACGTCATCGACTGGAAAAGCTCCAAGTTGCCTCGGGTGACACGATCTTCCCTTGGCGCCGAAGCCCAAGCCGCTGGCCAAGCTGAAGACAGCGTGGATTTCATATGTCGCTTCTGGGAGTGCCTCAAAGACCCCGACGCGACCCTGGCCGAGATCCTGGAGAGACCTTCGTCTCTTGCACCTGTTTTGGTGACTGACGCCAAAGCCCTGTACGACAGCTTCCATAGAGATGGCTTTGGGACTGGTCTGACTGACCGTCGAACTGCTTTGGAGGTCAAGGTGATCAAAGAAGGATTACAATCCTTGGGTGGTTCACTACGGTGGCATAGCTCTGAACGGCAGTTTGCCGATGGGCTCACCAAAGAGTCAACACGACAGCTCTTAGCTGATCGACTTCGGCATCACCGCCTGAAGTTCACCTGGGACCCCACCTATCAAGCCTCAAAGCGGAAGGATCTCCAAACACGCCTGCAGAGCCAGAACGAGTTCAGCAAGCCAAAAGAAGATGCTGATGAACATCAGCCTGACCAAGATGACGAAGTTCCTGGCCATGCGACTCACTACATGGAGTCCTATGTCTACATGGCTGACCCTGTGGACTATGTCATGGCCGATGAGGAGACCAACCACTATGAGCACTCTGAGCTCTCCATCATGCAAGAGCCTGAGGTCATTGCCGACCTGACGAACGTCAACACGGCGACCGGGGACTCTGCCACCAGCGCAAGTCGCTCTATGTCTTGGTGGATGAGATGGTTGACGGCATTTTGCTGTCTGGTCTCCGGGAAGGCGACAGAAGTGCTTCCCTCAAGTTTTGATGATTTTTCCGTGGCACAATGCCCACTACAGATCTATGAGCCGAAGACCGAAGGTCTTGGATCTGGTTCCTACGTCCTTGACTTCCTCTACGACTTCTCCTATGACATCTTCCTCCTGATCCTCTTCCTCACCATTGTCTTCATTGCCTATAAGGCTGCATTGGTTTTCGGATGGCATCAGGGCTACCGCTTTGTTTTGCGGCGGCGAGCGGTCAGAGCTGAGCGCTTCGAGCGACTGCTGGAGGAGAAGACGGAAGAGCTCCACGAAAAGACCGGAGCCCTAAATGAACTGGCAGAGGAACTCAACAGAAAGCTGACTGAGATTGCAAACCTCAATCAGCACATCCAAGATCTACAAGGTCATCTCGCCAATGCCCAACCAGAACTTCTGCACGCCCTGCAGCAGGAGCGAGCCAAAACAGCCAGACTGCAACTGAACTTACAGGCCTTGGAACAGAGCTACTTCCAGAAGAACGAACAACTGGTGACGTTTGAGCGACACATCAGGTCTCTCGAGAACTCAATTTCTGAGTACGAGAGGATTCGCACCAGTGGCATGCGTGTGATGAACCGGGCCCACAACGAGCTCGAGCACCACTTTAACAGATATCACCGCAATGGTGAGATCTTTGTGGCGAACAGAGGGACGGTGTGGCACACCGATGGAGGATGCTACCACCTCCACAACTCCTTTGTTCGAGAGCTGTGGCCTTGTCAAGCCTGTGCTCAGGATGTGATGACGCCCCACATCCGGAATGAGAACGGCGTGACGTTGCACAACGCCATGACTGGATGGCTGGTGTCTGCTCAGTTCTTTGACACCTCCAATGCGGATTACCCGATGTTCCCAGTAGTTCCTGGAGCAGCTCCCTCTTCTGGCAGCGCACCTTCAAATGCAGCTGGCGCCGCGCCTTCTACTGCAGCTAGCTGATCTGGCCCTGAGCAGGCCGTGCTAAGCCCTGTGCAGGCTTCTCGCTGGCGATGACGGCCAAAACGGCCATAGATGCTTTTGTTTCACCAATACACCCCCGTGTGAAGTGCACTCCATGCACTAGGGTTGTACATGTGATCCTGCGGTGATACCGCGGCATTTCCTCTCAAGGGAGGGATAAACTGACGCCTGACGGCGAACGGAAACGCAGCCTTCTCGAAAAAGGCTGTGCCACTACTTTGTGGACTAGGCGGACCAGACTTCGAGTGCTGTGTTCCCCCAGACTTCGCACATCGTTATATAACCATGGTAACCATGGTTCATTCATCACAGTTCATCACACTTAACGTCCCCAAGCCGCTGGCTGTGCCCACCACTTGGCAGCGATGCAGATGGGAGCGCTGGTGTACCAAAGGAAGGTCAGAAGCACGGCCAAGACCTGGCACTGGCGGAAGTCGACTCAGTTGGCCCTGGAAAAAACGGGCAGAAAATCTGGACGCAAAATGTGTGTCAAAACCTTGGTACCCCTGTAGTTCACATCAAAATAGCTGGGATATATGGATGTGAATAACCCACTAAAAATGGTATGTATATAGGTATTGATCCATACCCACATCGCAAAATGGGCATGGCAAAATCTGCCAATGGACCAAGGTGCTAAATTTCGATGGTTTTTTCTGTGTGAAAAAATGATTCAATTGGGGCTTCAATACTTTTGAACCATGACCACGGCTGGATGTCTGTCTTGAAAAGTAAAGGACCTGCGAATCACCACTGCCAATAATTGCTTTTTGTCTGTAGTTTGTGTCGAATACTACTTTGGGGGATAACCCAAGACTTAACCGATAGCCATCTGCCACCAGAAAATCCTTCAGAAACGTCTGAGAAGTTTGTTTTTCAGCTCCTGACCACATCCGTAGTGTAGTGGAATCGATTCGACAACACCAGGAAGATTTCCAGACCTACCACGGGAACACCACTGAACCACTGGATTGGTATCGAGATGTTTCCGTCCCACCTTGCTGGGCGATGCACACCATGTACACAGAGAAGACCACAACTTTCCTCCCGGGCAGCCACGAACCAAATGGCTGAATAACGGCCATGAAACCAGATAGTGATAGTACCACATAGCCCAACCCCATTGAACTAATTAGATCATATTAGAACCATCAATTGCGAAGAATCTCGAATGATTTGATGGCATTTAAGGCATTTCAAGAGGCCTTTTCAGCGAAGTTCCCAGTGGTTCGCAGTGCGCAATGATCCACCCCCCGGCCTCTTGAAGCTGCTTTCAACATATAAGCGTGAGTCTGGATCGCTCAAGGCCTCGCTACATGCGCAGCCATTCACTTCCAACGTTTGGTCAGCTGTCGCACCTTTCGGAGAAGCTCGCAGAGCGCGAGGATGTAGAGAATGGTAAAATATGTGTGACCAGAATAGATCATATCCTCAGCCAACAGCGAAGCCGCTGGTATCAATACAAACACAGCGGCAGGTGATTCAGTTCTGTTGCGCCGAGTTGCGCCGCAGAAACGCATGCCAGAGCCAATCCTATCAGAACATGCCAAGGACATGCGAAAAGGATGCTTGTTGAGAAGTGGCTTGTTGAAGTCATCATGGCGACCATGGATTGCTGGGTTTCACCCACGTTTCGAAAATTGGAAGTGCGACAAAAAAAAACACATTATTATCCCGATGATTTTCCCAAGTCGATTTGTTGCACCCCAACAAAGTGTTGTGGATTTGGTCCGACGATCGGACCTGTCTTGGTGAGGACCTGTGAGTTCCACCCCCAGAATCGCCATCACCATGGTCCACCTGGTCCCAGAAGATTTGGATGGGATATCATGGGATATCATGGGAATGTTATGGGAATGTTATGGATCCTCCAAATGATCAAGAAGCCGGGCAAATCTTGTCAATCGAAGATTTGTCGCTTTTTTTGGGTGGTCCATCAAACTGTCATTGGATGGTCCACCCAAGTTGGAGGTGTTGAAATGTCCATGTCCGGCCATGATTTGAGGGTCTGAAGGTGTTGAATATGTTCCAAATGGCAATTGAACAGGAGAAACTCATGATAATTCACTGGATTTTGCAGGTTTCCCCTATTTTCCCACCATTTTCAGGTACCGCACACCTGGTTCCACTCAGTTTCTGACAGGCCATGGGTAGTGGGATCGGGAACCTTGCAAGGCGATGTCATAAATAAACCACCCATGACTTCCTGGGAAGGGTAACCATACCTATCAAAATGGCGACTGAGGGATGGTGCAGATGGCATGCAGATGGCATTGTTTTACCCACATCTATAATGATTAAAAAAAGAAAAACACATGTTTGATGCCTTGTGTGGAATTTCACCGCCATGTTTGATTCCCACGTCTTGATTCTTGTTATCCCATTCCATGTGTTGTCCCCATTGTCTCCCCATGAAATCCCCATCAACATCCCACTAAATCCCCATGAAATTGCCATAAAAAGTCAATGACTTGGACAGAGCTGCACCTCGTTGCGAAAATACGCGAGGCCCTTCTCTCCCAAACGCGCCTTTGCAGAGCGCCAAGGGGGGTGGTGAGTGACAAGGGCAACAACTGGGAGCACGGATGGTCTCTATGTATCTACTGCAACATATGAATACTCCATAAATATATATATATATCAATATATATATATACACATACAAGTAACTATATGTGTATAATTATATATATATATACATATCGTGTGTTATATTGCACATATATGTTATCTCCCATTCGAATTGCTGGCAAGTGCCTTGCAGTTGGCCCAGCCAATGCTGTCGGGGATGATGGTCGTCGCACCGAAGATCCCTTTGCCAAACGCAAGAACCTCGTGCTGTGACCTACCTGTGGCATTAAGGACCACGTATCAGATATATATATATATCCATGTGAATCAAATGTATTTATACATATGTGTAGTGTAGGTGTATATATATATATATATACGTATATACATTTATATTATATATATATATCAGATCATATCTGTGTGTGTGCCCATTGAACGGGCCACAGGAAACGCGTTAAGATTTCAAACCAAAAACCACGGCCAGGAAGCTGAATGGCATAGGAGCACTTTGGTCCATGCCTGGACGTCTCTGAGATAAATGACCTGCGTCCCGGGCGGAAAATTGCAGATCGATTTCGCCCAGATCGATTTCAAAATGCTTCGAAACCCGGGTTGTTTGAGTTGTCCCAAATTGATAAAGCCAAAGCCATGGGTAAAAATGCGGGGTCAATTGAAAACTGTTGATATGGAGTGACTTCATCCTGCAGCTACAGCATCATCCTGCAGTTTCTTTGTTCGCGACTATGTATCTTGGCCTCAATCCCTTTTTGTCCAAGCATGTTCTCTGAGTAGCCAACTGCACAGAACCACAGAAAGGGAAACACCAAGGCCACAGCGTCCAAAGCCTACCACAAGGAGCACTGGCAATCTTGGAAGTGTCACAATCAAGACAATCAAGGTCCAAATTGATAATTTCCCATTTTTCCAAATGCCAGCGGTCTTGAAATGGATCCAAATCAAAAATTCCAGTAATTCCAATTGAAAGTGCCACAAATTGGGAAAAAAATCCCCCCACGGGGCGAAGGTTCAATCAAACTCCACCTTGAGAGGCACATGTCGAAAGCCCAGCTGTGCTTCCAGCGGATCCTCTGTGACGAGGAACGGAACGGAACGGAACGGAACCGCTTCGTCTTGAAGATACCTTCATTGTGATACCTCGATATACCTCAATGGTTGATACAACTCCGTGAAAATAGGTATGATGCTCCGAGCGATGTATTAGACAAACTATGGTTCATATATCTAACCCAGCTCACAACCATCATTGTTGCTTGGGAATCATCCCCTTCGAAAGAAAGGTCAGTGCCGGAGTCCTGCAAAGATCCGAAGGACACGCTATCTTTGCTCAGCCCGGCGGAAAAGAACTGCTTGGCCTTTTCGTCCTCGGTGTAGCCCGGCGTCCGCTGAAAGGCGGCCTCGAAGCGCAGAATGCCCTTGACGTAGTAAAAGGTGGCGATATGCAGCATCCACATGCAGATCAGGGAGCTGATCACGACCAGCATCGCAGGCACAATCCATTTCACCTAGGGGAGCCACTGTGAAACCAACTGATTGAAGACACCAAAAGTTTGTTGTTGGGTTGATCAACTTTGTCTCAAACCCTGGCTGGTCTTAAACCGTAGAGGAAACCAATGGTTTGGGGCATCCCGCATGTTTGGATATACCATGAGGAAAGGGGCGGGGAATCTTTCGAAACCATTGAGACAAGTGACAGGGCCCTTGCCACCCAAGGTCTTTGCTTGTCCGGCAACACGGGCTCTCCAACGTGTCACTTCTACATCATCCTGAGACATGTGAGTCAGTTTCTGGCCGGTTTCATGTGGAAAATGAGTTTCCAAACCATGGGAGAAACTGAAAAACACCAGCAGTGAATTCTTCCACGCACTTCTTTGTCATCCAAGGCTTGCAGAAAAATACCGTCCGGCAATCAAACATGGCAATGGAAAGTCCCCCGTTTGTAGATTATGTTCCCATTAAAACCTCCATTTGTCACGAGCACGCCTAACCCTTATATTATAGACGTTTTCTAACCTCTACGTCTGCAAGATCAGAACCTAGTCAAAGCTTATGCCTAACCTTCGTACTTTGCTGACTTCAATGTTTAATTCCCTAACGTATGCACAACCCTCCTAACCACAAATGATCAAAGTCAGCTAGCCTCACTCTGTTTGGGCACCTGGAGATCGAGCCATTCACATGCAGAGGATGCGCTTCTTGGGGATGGAACAAAGACAACCAACTTTCTCCACATTGAGTGCTCTTGTGGCTTGGTACATACTGGTGGACAGATTGCTCACCTCAACTGCTATCTTCTCTTCAAACCTTCGCCCCCGCCACAAAGCGAGGCGCTGCAATAAAGAGTGCACAGCTGGTAGAAAATCTGCAAATGGTACAGGCCCTATATGTCCTACTGCTTGCACGCAGCTACCGTGAAGTACCAACAGCGGGCCTTAAGAAATATCTTGGCCCTGTTTTAATTTGGACCGCCAAATGTCGGAGATCTTACAATTTTGTGAAAATATCACCTCCCACAGCCCAACTTCCGCGGCAGATGCCCCCACACAGGACCAAGTTGCGCACGTTAAGCCCAATTTGCGTCCAAACGTGCTCACGTTGCGCCATCTTGGACCCCAGTTTGGGCCCGAGTTGGAGCCAACTATCTACCCAGTACCCCATTGCTTCCTTTCCGAGTCACACTTTCAGTGTCACCTTCCGGATCTTCTTGCAACTCAAGCTCCCGCCTCAGTGGAACTGGCTCTGCAATGCCCGGAACCTGTAGTTTGAATTACAGAAATTGCCTGGAAGTCACCCTGAAAATGGTACAGAAGCTCATGACTTGGGGACTGTTCTGCCTGGAACAACCATTCAACTCAAGCTGTTTACATTCCCGTTCCCATGTATACCTGCATTACATTGATATGTATCTATGGCCGGAAAATCCCTGGTAGAATTCCTCCGTTTTCGCTGGCACAAATCCCATGGTTTTGCCCCCAGCCGGCCCCCTCCCTTCACCAAGTTGCAATGCCATCCGCTGGGACATGGTGACACACGACGCACTTCCACGGCCCAAATGCTCTGCGGCTCGTTCCATGGACCCCAGAACACATCAGACTTACTGTATATTACCATAGGCCCAGAAAGGTAGATGTTGTATTTTCTTGATGTTTGTCGAATCTTATTTTTTACACTCTTGTTCAAGTTCGCTTCAAATATTAGTTACGGTATATCACAAATCCCAGAGTTTTACTGGTGAAAATGTCAACAGAACTTGTCATCACCATGACAACTGGGTGATTGTTGGCGATTCACTGCACGGTTCCTGGGGTTTTGTAAATCCCTTATTGGTTCCATGGGACAATCATCGGGAATCCATGGTTTCCGATGGATTCTCCCATGGTTTCCTCTATATTTTCCCAGCCAAACCAGCCCATTCGAATCCGTCGCTGGGACTCCAAACAACTTGCGCAACGGAGTGGTTTTCTTGATCCTTGGCACGGCGTTACGGAGAGACATATCCGGCCATGCAACCATACAACAAATGATCATGGTATCTCATGAGACTTTTTTATACTTTTTTGGGATAGATAAGTCTCCAACTCAAATCTAGATTCTTTGTGTTTCCAATGGCGAACCAATCACTGCAGCCGAGCAATTGTGGCGTTCTGAATCAACCCTGGTCTCCTGGTCGATATTTTTTACACCTGGAAGATTGAAGAACTGGAAAGTTGATTGAAGAACTGGAACTGGAAAATTCATTGAAGATGTCCAAGAAAATGTCCCACCTGATGCTGGAACATTGAATTTCTGTTGCACCCACTGGATGAGGTCGTCTCGATTCTGCTGCTGGAGGTGTCCCAATTCCTTTGTAAAAGCACCTCTGTTTCTAATGTTATCTGTGCGTAAAGCTGCTCAGTGTATAAAAGTAATGATAGATATGTTTTTTGTAGTAGTAAAATGCATGACTATTCTTCTTATTAATAATGACAGTAGAAAAAAATGTAAAAAAATTAAACATGATCCATGTTGCAGATCCATGGCTACCCTCAAGAAATCAACCCATTCCCTCCCAAGTCGAACGCACGCTGGCGAGGCAGCCGAGGCAGCCGAGGCAGCCGAGGCAGCCGAGGCACTTGAACTGCACCTCACTTCCCTGCTGATCCTTCACCTTTGCAGCCGTGAACAATGGTCAAAATGGGGAATCAAAGCCTATGAAATACCACGATATATGTATATACACATATATACAATATATATATATATAACCATATAACATAATATATTATATAAATTGTATATAACCAAACCATGTTGATACATGCTATGTATAACCGGTGGCCATCTATTTTTCTGCGGGATGGATCACCCGCGCCTTGAGCTGGATGTGTTGAGGTGCGTCGCCGCCTTCCGCCATGCTTCACCTCGAAGTATGAGGTGATAATGGCGGTGATAACTTTTGATAATGATAGTAATATGATGTATGTATATATATATATATGTATATATATATGTATATATATATATATATGTATATATATATGTATATGTATATATATGGTTGTTGATCAAAATTCCTTTATCCCGGAACGGCCATCCTTCGCGAATAAAAATTTTACTTTCGCGAAACTTTCTCCAACTCCATGTTTATCTTTCGCGGGGCCCATGTTGGCCAACAAAACCTCTTATGAAGATTCGTACACCACCTGCCAAATTACGCCAGAGAATCACGGATCACTTCTTGGTAGCCTTTTAAACATGCAGCTAGCATCACGGAATCCCTTCTCAGGACAGAATTTGTTTTTCAAAGTTTACTGGCCCACCCCCTTCAACATGCACTTTGACTTTCGCCCGCTCTTTCGCATAACTTTCGCGGAACTTTCGCGAAAATATCCCTATTCACAGACCCCGGCCATCAGCAGGGGGTGCACTGAAGGAAAAGCGAAGACCAGGGGCCTTGGTGTTTGGCTCTCGCAAAGCCTCACTTTTGGAAACTTGGCTACTGCTACTCGCATTCTCTGGTGCCCTTCTCCTGCCGGACCCCGGGCGGCAGTGGGTGGCAGCCCTTTACATATAATGATTATAATACCCAACTTTCGCGAAACTTTCGCGAAATAAAATTTTACTTTCGCGAACTCGAAAAAAAAACTTTCGCGAGGGTTTCCAACATAACATGCACGGCTTTCGCAATTAAAACTCCTTACAAGGACCTTTAGATCGATCACCATATATATATATGTGTGTGTGTGTATGTACAAATATGTAGGGATCATAGTGATAATAGTGATATAGTTCACAAAGTGAGGTAAACATCACTAAAAACAACATTACAATAACATTAAAAAAGCACGATAATAGTAGTGATGATTATCACTAGCACCATCACAATGAACATCACTTAGTGATAATAGTGATAGTGATAAGAGCAGGGATGATAATGATAGTAATATATAGTCATATAGTGATATATAGTGATATATAGCACCGGAATTATAATATATAATTGTAATTGCTAGTCATTATAATATGTTATAATGATAGCAGTAATGAAAAAAGAGAGAGAAAATCACCATTTAGTTCGATGATTGTCCCATCTATAAACCTCCATTTAGTTCGAGGATTTCCCAGCCATGTTTGATGACGGGAGGGCTTAACCAGCCGGGAGACTTCAACTTTGGCTTGCGCAACTTCAAAGCTCGTGTTTTGAGCAAAATCTGCGGTGACGAAATTTGGCACAAACTTGGAACCATATTAGTGCAAGAACTATAATATAAAGTTCCTGACACCAGTTTTTTTGGGAACTAGATTTGGTGTGTGTGTGTGCGCGCCATATTTGGTGTCTGAATGTGTGGGTGTGACTGCCAATGTCTCCTCTAAAGTTGGTCAATACATGTAGTGTACCAGTGTACCCAAAAAATCCTCCAAATGAGCTATGGCCTATGGCTATATCATGCTCGAACCATGGGATATTGGGCTGCTTTATTTTAGACAAGCCAATATCCCAGCTATGCACCTCAGCTATGATTTCGCGAGACTTGTAGAACTCGGGCCACCTGACACATGGACAATGGTGTGTCAAAGCCATGGTGGGTCCCATTGCATCGTCAATAAATGGATAATCCATGAGAATCCACATTACAGGATCATCATCTTTCAATGATTTATCATTGTGAAATGATAAATCTATAATAAAATCCATGATTATCCATAAAAAAATAATGATCTAATACATGATCTAATAAACGATGATAAATCAAAAAATGGTGAGAAACCTCCATGCAGATCTCCCCCCAGAGTTTTTGCTCCCCAAATCCAGGGTTGTTTCCAGGGCCTTCCAGCTTGATAGGCACGATTGGCGATCAGGATCCCCAAATCCCAGAGATCCATCCAATCCTCAGTGGAGTTTTTGAAAAGGGGGAACCCGTTTAGCCGGGGAAGCCCAACAACAAACTGGGGAGGATTCGAAAGATGAACAAATGATGAAGAAATGATATGACATCCCTTTGTTTTATGATGATTATTTAAGAATCTTTTGAATCCCCAGTTTTTGATATGGCGATTATGATATCAAATGATACATGTCATGTCATACTAAAACTTGGCAAGTTTTAGATGTGTTCCTATCATCTTTTTCCCCATGACGTGGGGGCCACAACTTGTGTCAATCGGTCAATCCCTTAGTTTCACACAGCCCCAAATGTCCAAATCATCATTCATATGGTTACGGTTTTACTAATATGTATATATATATATACTTATATACATCCGCATATGTTATGTTTGTGAACTATCCCCAAGATCATCGTGAATCATCGTTATGAGTCATTGTTGTTGACATGTTCAAATAACTATCCCAACTATTGTTGACATCATTTACCCATCTAATAGATAACAATAGATAACAATGACAATCATTATGATTAACAATTTTTGTACCCAGCACCATGATTTTTCATCATCCCCAGCCATGGCCATGTCGCTTCAACCATGGGCCAACCAGCTATGGTGATGTTCGCTGAGCCACCCACCAGCTGCTTCTTGTGGTATCGTGAGGCCTCGGTTGTTTGGCACATTTGTACATCGGATTCGGAGATGTACATATGGTACAAATATGATCAAATATGTGTATATACATAATATCAATTGATATCATAATAGCTATATTCATATATGTCATTCTAATATCATTTTAAATATCAGTGTATATATAATATTAATTAATATTATATATATAATCATTATATTCCAGCTATTATGTGTCCCCCTTATTTCATGGGGACTAACAAGAGTCCCGGTCCCGCTGCCCGCATCAGCCGATCGGATCAGGCTGCCTCTGCCATCTTGATGAAGTACACCGCAGCATCATCCTGGAGGGAACACCAGGCTCCACATCAACAGTTCCATGATTTCTTTTTATGACTATGAAATTGGCCCATAGAAATAGATGGTTTACCTATTAATAGCATGGTGGATCTTTCCATGGCTATGTTAAATAATCAATGACTATGAAATACTATGGAACTATGAAGTATGATATGGAATAAGTATGAAATACTACGAATATTCTATGAATAAACATAAAAGTCTATGGATAAGACACCTGGATGACTATGAAATACTAGGAATATTCTATGAATAAGTATGATTTTTTGGCCCAAAATAAACTTGATAAACACCTGGAAGATGTTTTCGGCTGACGAATGCCCTTCTGGATCGGCGCACGGCGCGGCACCTCGCGCCCCATGCGCCGCAGGGATGAGCTCATGTTGCGGTAGAGCGTCTCGTAGAACTCCGATGCCCCCTGAGGTCCGAGGTGTTTTGGTGTATGATGGTGTTATAAAAGGTGTTGAAAGTGGGCAGAGTTTCAGAGTTTATGAAAGTTGATGGAAGTTCAGTTTAGGAAAAATGAACTAATGTGGGTAAAATGGTAAAACAATAATAAACCATCCCCCAAATCACCATAAATAGGTGGTATAAACCATTCCCAAATGGGTGGTTTATGACGTTGTTTTACCCTCATCAACACATTGGATGCAGGCAACTCTACAGTGACTGAAGCTGAAGCCCAAGGCCCTTGGGAAAGGCCATGGAGCGCACCGGCTCGTGCATGGGGAAGTTGGCCAAGGACTCCATTTCGTACATCATCTCCATGGCCTGAAGCAATGAACTGCTCAAGCCCAATGGGGGAGTGACCCCCCTCCAAATAGCAATCAAATAAGAGGGGGTAATCAATAATGGGATGCTTCGATGTTAATCAATGTTGATCAATGTTGATCAATGATGGTTTGAAGATCATGATGAACAGGAAAAAAAACACAGATTGATGAAGCATCATATTGAATCAAGCTGGGTGCATCTGAAATCTGCTTCGCTTCGCCAGACCTCCACGTCGCGACTCTGCTTCATCCGAACCTGGCGGGCCGTGACCGGCCGGAGCCCCGGCGCCGGCACCCCATGGAGCTTCCGGCCCTCGGCGCCCTCGACGCCCTTCTTTCGCCTGGGAGATGTGATTCAAGTACTTCACCAGCCAAGCACCGCTCCTGCAGGTAACATCAGGTAACCAGACACCTGCAAAACAAAACATGGTCATATTATGTCATATTATGTCATATTTAGCAATTTTAGTTCTGAAAGAACACAGGTTCAAAACAGTTTCTACATCATAATCATCATAGGCTTCCAGCATCTTCCAGCTTTTTTGGGGGACTCTCCAACCGGGCTGGATGACCACATGTGGATGGCCTCTCTTCCGCATTGCGCGTGCAGCGAAGCAGCACGGCCTGCATCAGCGATAGGTAGCAGTGGCTTGGTCCAGAAATAACGGTCAATTATACAGTAACATCTATCATACGTTCAAAACTGCTCAAATGCAAGGCCGCTCTCACTGCATCTTTTTGAGGCCGTAGGGGTGCGTTGTGACAGCTGTTGGCTCTGTTCAGCAAGTGTCACCTCTGGTGCCGTTTCTCTCAGAGGAACCCTGCCTAATAGAGCTAGCTGTGCTCGTAGGCCTAAAAACCAAATTGGTGCGGGATTGGGAGGGTGTTTTTGGGCAGCTCGAGCCCTTATAGCTACACGTTTGGCAGCTTAACACTTCCTCCAGATGTTCCTGTGCACACATGTGCTACTAAACATCTATCATACGTTCAAAACTGCTCAAATGCAAGGCCGCTCTCACTGCATCTTTTTGAGGCCGTAGGGGTGCGTTGTGACAGCTGTTGGCTCTGTTCAGCAAGTGTCACCTCTGGTGCCGTTTCTCTCCACACTGGCGCCAGTTCACCCACCCTGCCAGTGTGAGAGGTCTGCATTGGAGCATATTGAAGGTTGAGCACGTCCTGAAGAGCTTGGCCATGTGCGTATTGGTGATCTGTGGCCACGCTGTGGAGGATGCGGTAGACATTGGCGGTGTCTACTTCCACCCACTCTGCTTCAAGTTCTGCCATTTCTTTGAATTGATGTCTGGACACCTGATCGCTGATGTTCATACCTGATGGTACCCACTCCAGGTGCAAGTGCCAGCCGTCATGTGCGATGATTCTCCACACCAAAGCTATCATGTTGCAGATGGAGGGGTCCTTACAATATCCTTTCCGGAGCGCAAAGAAGCCTGATGTGTTGTCGATGAATGACAACACGAGGCTGGATTTCAATTGCCTGCAAAGTAGAAAGCCCAGGAACTGTGCAGCTACCTCCAGAAAGTAGATGAAGGCTTTCCGTGTGCAAAATCGTTTGATCAGCCAAGGAGGAACTCGTCCTGCTGAATAGAGGGTGCGTCCGCAAAAGTGGATGACGAAACCCCAGCCATTCTCGTAGGTATGGCATTTGGTCTTAAGCCATTGTTTGGGTATCGAAGAAGATCCCGGTGAGTGTGTCTGGCCACCGATGACGAAGTAGGCGTCGGAGTAAATCACAACAACTGGCTGATTCGGTTGTCGTAGGATCTCCCGTGGTTTGATCACTTGCAGCAGGCCCCGCAATGTCAATAGGGCTGAGCGCAAAGTTGAGTTGGCCTGAGTGATCTCCTTCGGACAGACCGTGAGCCCTGGCATACAGGGGCTGCAGTGCTGCCTTGCCAAGCTGTCCAAAGAGCGTAGATGTGAGAAACACCAGTTTGCCTGCCAACCGATGTGCTAAGTCACTGGATAGCATGTTGGTATCCAGTGCTGTCTGGATTGTCTTGCATGCTCTTTGACAGCGATCTGGATGAGGTGAGAGGATGATCTTGTCCTCCTTGATGTGCATGATGATGCCCAAGACCTTCTGTTGAGCCGCCGGTGCAAGAGCTTTCCTCTCTTTCATCCGCAGGCCAAGGGTTCGCATCAACCGTGTAAACTCTGAGAAACCGCTTTGGACCAGTGGGGCAGGCTCCACGCCTATGAAGTCATCAACATAGTGGCCCAGTGGGGTCCCCAGTAGTCGTCTGCTGAGGAACATGATGCTGTCAGCAGCCCTGTTGAAGTTCCATACCGAACTCACTGCCCCGAAGGTCATGGCATGGTGTTGCAGCAAAACCGGACCGCCCGGTGTCATGAGGACGCAATAACAATCCGTTGGGTCTCGTACCGGAAACTGTCGGTAGGCCCCATCCAGGTCCTGTGCCCACACAAGGGAGGCTTCTTCCCCAGGTGGTGTGGCAAGGGCCAGCTCCGTGAAGGTCCGTATGTCATGATGATGAGGGACATCATGTGCAATCACGGTGGCATTGTGACCGGACCGACGAAAATCTTCGCATCGCCGGATCTTGTCAGATTGTACCACGCTGAAGCAGAAGCTGGTGCTGATCTCTTGGCTGGGTAGAGGGCGCAAAGGCATGTCATCGATGGTTGTGGTGGGAACCGGCCACCAATCGGGAGCCCGATAAGGCCCAGACATGCGCCCCTTCGCCAGCTCAGTTCGAAGTTCATCCTGCATGGTGGCCCATTCAGGGTCTACCCTCTTGCTGAGTAACTTCCGCATGGTGTATTGCCTGTTGTTGCGGAGGAAGGCCTCCGAGGTCACAGGAAATTCATATCTGCTGTCTGTTCGTGGGAGCCAACCTGAACCGGCATGCAGCTCACCCATCACTTTGAACCCTCGCTGTAGGTCATCGGACAAGTCGTCCAGGCCCGGCATCCGCACAAGGCGGAGTAGGTGTAGGAGCAATGGGATCTGAGAGATCTGGTTGTGATCTTTGTTGAAGTAGACTTGGGCGACATGGTGAGGCAAAGATTCCCACCATTGTGTTGTCCCATCTGCCCAGTCTGATGCCATCTGTTCAATCTCGTCCACAATCTCGGACCTCATGCGAGGGAGGCTGCCGCCAATGATGTTGCGGAGGTCGGCACATTGTTGCAGCCCCGGTTCAAGCCGGGGGCCGTTGCATTGGGTGTGTCGCCACAATGGCTGCCTTCCAATGTTCCCACATAGATCCTGTCTGGGCGACACAGATGGCCTCACTCGGCCATCGCCCTGGGCCGATCTGTGGTTCCAGCGGTTGCAGGATGTTCAGCATGGTCTGCATCGCTGTGTGTCTGGGTTGTGGAGCTGGAGTGGCCGCTGCAGTCATGAGCATGGACTGTAAGACAAGCATCATGATGAACTTGGCCGAGCCGATGTGCCAGCCGTTTGCAAGCATCCGGTGTCTGGCACGTTCCGACACTCCAGGCACAGCTGTGTACCATCTCGGCAACTGGTGTAGCTGTTCTTTGGCCTCTGGGGGCGGAACAGTCATGCTTCCATCTGCTGCGTGGAGAAGGGCTTCTGGAGAGTATTGCCACGGAGCGAACGACCGTCCGTCCTGCAGCCACCTTGCCTTCTGCTCCGGGTCGATCTTGCCCCTCAGCTTCTTCGGCGCCGGACGGCCATCGTCAGATGGGGCCGGGGTTGTCAGGCACGGCATGCGCCTGTCATGCGTCGCCACCGCCGTGTGAAGACGGAGGCCATCCAGCTGCAAGTCTGTCTCTTCTTGGAGCTGCGTGTCATGGTGGAGGCGGTGGTATTTCTGATTCTTTGACCACCTCAGCCGCTTCCCTGTGATGGGGTTCGTCCGGGTGCGGCTCCAATCCACTCGTGTCCACCACAGGCGTGGGCGGTTGATCAGTCCAAAGTCTTGTGCATCAGCCAAGACGGTGTTGCAGTCAAGGAGACCTGCGAAGTGATCTGCCTCTCCTTTGTCCATCACCACGTTCTCTGTGATGTGGCCCGTCCTCTTGTGAGGTATGTCCATCTCCACCTTGCGGATGAACTCACAGTATGGTGCATCGTCACGAATTCGTGAGAAATCAGGGCATGGAGGAGCTGATGCAAAGAGCACGAGCTTGGTGCCCTCTGGATCATGACGATGTATAGCACGGGCAACTTCTGCAGGGTCATCTTTGAGGAAGTCACCACGTATCACTGCCTCTGGATGACGTGCTTTCAGCACCTCCAGGCAATCACTGTCTACCTCCCAGGCAATGTGTAAAGAGATGTCCGCAACCAAGCCCTTGAGGATCAGTGCAGCCGATCCGATGCCATCAAAGCAGCTGAGAAGAATGACTTCTTCTTCCACTCTCTGAAAAACCTGGCCTAACGTGGCCGCTGGTGGTGTGCTGGGTGGAGGGTACCCAGTGTTGTCGGGTGTCATGGGATCCACCTGTCCCATGACCCCGTGCTGTCCCTACTTGGACGGCGTCTTCCAATCGGAAGACCATGAATCCTTTTGCCAGGCTTGTTTGTCCTCGTGTCTTGGGGATCCTTGCCATTGGTTCTGCGCTTTGCCAGATCGGTCAGAGGCACTCCCAGGCCAAGTCTTGGTTGGCCTTGAGTACGGGCTTGGTCGAGTGCCTTTTCCTGACTTTGTGGAGCCCTTGCCATAACCCTTCACCTCAGTCTTAGACGGACTGGTGTTGACCGGTTTCTTGGTTGTCTGAGTAGGTTCACGGCTCATGCATTCGGTGAACGAGTCATAGTCTTTCATGATGACCGACGTAGCCTCCACAAAGGTGCGGCCCCCACGCATCTCCAGTGCCAGCTTCCAGGAGACTGTCATCCAGAACTGGGCGAGCTGGTCGGTCTTCTGGGGCCTGCTGCGTACCAGGCGAACAAGCCAGTCGAAGAAGGCATGGACTGCTTGTTCCGTGCCCATCTTGCACAGGATGAAGCACCATCTGATGCTGGCCAAACCGTCCAAGATCGCCAAGACACTTCGTGGCTGCCATGGCTCCTCAGGTGCCGCCACCAATTGTTCACCTGTGAGGGTGAGCTTGGTCACGCTGCGCTCCCTCTTTGCCAACGGGTTGGGCTCACCGTTCGCCTGAAAGGTGCGGATGGAGATCACTTCACCCAGCAGCACCGGCGTGTAAGACTTGCTGGTCTCGTGCTCGTGTAAGACCCTGGCAATCACAGATTCTGCACCAAGCAGTTCTTGAACCGGGAACACTCTGTCCTGCCCGGCGATCTGCTGCGTCTGAAAGTCCTGGACCAGTGATGCCCATCTTCCGGGGGCTAATGTCTTTGGGATCTTGTCCTCAGTGCTGGTTGCAGGAGACCCTGTTGAGGAGTTGGCCGGTGTGGCCGGTTTGGGCTTGGCTGCGATCTGAGCTGCCTCCCATGCTTGTTTCGCCATCATCCACATGTGCAGCAAGACTGCTTTGGCGATGGGCTTGTCATTCTCAGGAACCTTGAGGACGGTGCCATCATCACGTGACCATCCTTGGAGAAGGGGTTGGATCAAGGTCTGTTCCAAACTGTCTTCATCCCGGCTCAACAAGGCCAGTGTGGCCGGTGTCTTGATGCCTCTGAGCTCGAGGTACTCATTGATCACGGCTCCCGCTGCCGCGTCCCTAGCTATGTCAGCCAGTGAGACTGGTGCCAGCGACAACACCATGGTCACTGTTGGAGTGCGCTGGGTTTCGTTTCAGCCAGGCTGCAGAAGTTATTCATGCATGAAATACCAGAAACTGCAGTCAAAGAATGTACACGTCCGAAGAAAGTGGCAACTTGGTCCATGGCCGCAGGCTGTTCCGTTGCCAGAAGCAGAATTGAACAGCGAACGAACCACGACCAAGCGCGTCACCAACCCCAAACGCGAAGGGCAGGAGGTCTCGCATGACTGAACAACCTGATTTAGAAACAGTTGAAAAACCAACGGCCAAAAATCAGCAACAAATGAAAATAAATCACAACCCGAACTGAGGAATGCAGAGGTCAACGACTCGTGTCATGTCTGTGGCAAACTGCTGGACTGTCTTTTTCAATGCCTGCTGATCGAGTCAGCTCTCCCGCTGGAGCTGTCTATTCCTCCTCAGCGCTGCTTGCTGAGGAGGCCTCTAATTCGGTAATATCGGACGAGTCATCGCTGCTGTCCGAGCTGGAATCGTTGCCTAAATTAAAACATTTCCGGCATCGCCTCGCGCCATCCTGCTCATTGGCAGTTCTCAAAAACGTGCGACTGCCGTAGCACCAGCCACATGGTGTCCGCCATTTCGACGGTTCGCTGCTGTCCTCATATTGCGAGGCACGATGAAGGATCTTCGCCCTCGGACGAAAGACAAAGGTCTGAGCTGGCACCTGCACGGCCTGCTTCACCTGCTCAAGTTCTGCCTGCAGACTGCGAACCGCAGCTGCAAAGGCCTTAGGCCTGGCGGCTGGGGGCCTCTGTTGCACGGCCGGTTGGCTCGCCGAGGCCTTGGGCTCTGGCTGCATGACTTGCATCTGGAGCTTGAATGAGCCAGAGGCCTCCTCTGACAAGACCTGCTGAGGAATGTTCGGAACACGGCTGAGGGCACTGTCCTGGGTGTACCGCAACACTGCTGTGCTGGTCCACCGACCCAGCAGTTGGATCAGGGCAAGCTCAACCCCTGAGCTCGACAGCATTTGTGCGCCAGAAACCTCAAAACATGTCCATGATACCGCTGTGTGTCCTGTCCTTCTGGGCCAGGTCGGGTCAGAGAAGTCCCGGTCTTGGCAATGACCCTTCTGATGGCCTCGATGAAAGTCTGCTTCGAGGCTGTCTTGCCCTCCTCATCTGGGAAAAGAGGGATACGTGTACGAGAGCCTCCACAGGGGTGTGACTCTAAACGTAGAAGGTGTCGTTCAGCGCTGTGCCAAACGCACATGCCATGGACCTTCACTCCACAGCTACAAGTGAGGGATCTCTCGGTGAATCTGCCCCATTGGTCGGTCTTGTGAATCGGGATACTGAGGCAAACCTCATGCCCTTCCAACCTGAGGTCGCAGGCGCGAGCACTGGCCAACTCCGATTCCCGGAGCATGAACCACAGGCCGATCATGGCCATGTCTCTACAATGTGAGACGTTCGCAAACGAGAAAGGCTCCTCATCCATAGTTGGTGCAATGTTGCCCAACAACAAACCGTTGAAGGCATCCTTGAGGCGACTCTCACCTAGTCCTCTCTGAATTGAACGAATGCAGTCACGGATGCCCATCTTGACTATGGCGGGAATTGGTGTCTTGAGAGCCCTTTGCTGATGCCCACAAATGGCCTGAAAATATACGGCGGCACTGCGATACCCTCCCGCTTTCAAGGAGGCCCCGAAACACCTGATGTTCTGGTTGTCCAAAGGGAAAGCCGCCACCTCCCAGGCACGGCAGATGGCCATGTAGGTCCTGACTCTGGCCTCCACGGCCGGGTTTGTTGACCTGGCGAGGACGTCTTGGTCCAACATCTGCAGGGACTTCTGTCTCTGATTGGGTAGTGCTGCCTCCAGAGCAGCCTGAAGGCAAGCACGTTTGCCCATGTTTCGAACCGGTAAATCGTCCCGGTGGGCCTGGCCTGGAGAGGTCACCGGTCCCGCTGCCGGGCTCTCCGAGGCGGCCAATATGGCCTCTAGCTGCCAGTGTGGCACACCAGCACCATGGAGCGTGTCGTATTGCAACACCAACTGGTTGATACTGACTACGCCGTGGCGGATGAGATCAGGGGCTAATCGTTCCAGGCTGGCCCGTCTTAGGGCGTCCCAGAGCTCTCCTATGTTCGACATGGTCGGCTGCGATGTTAATCAAATGAATTGCAACTGCATGCAAACAACCACAACATGAGCAAGTAACTCAACAGCAATCATGGTGCAAACCTATGAACCTGCCTACAATGGTCATGGACGATTGCAGCAAAGCCAAATGAAGGGCGATGAGCCCACGTGAAATGAAAGAAGCAAACTGAAACGCTGCACAACTGTAACAACTGGAAGTAGTGATGGAGTCGATCGGTCTGCTGATCAACTTCTTTTTCACTAACGCAAGCTGCATGTCTCAAAATGGCCGAATTGGCCCGACTGGCATGGATACCGGACGTCGGTGGCACGTCAATGCTAAGCCCGACTGTGACGTGGGTCTGTCTCATGTAGTCCCATCATTGGTGTCATTGGGTCTGTTGGCCTGCGATCATGGCCATCTGAAGCCTGTCCTGAGTACGCTCGATCAGCGCAGTCTGCATGCGCCACTGGTAACTTTTCAGGATCGACTGGATGAGATTCAGGGCAGGGAATATGTCATAATATCTCATTTCTTCTATGGCCAATATGGCCGAGTACATCCTGCGATCGGCACGAGTGCCTGACTCTGTGTCCTTCTCCAGGCGCCAACGGACCATGCTGTCTGTGGCTAACTCCAATTCGGTTCGAAGCTCTGTCATGCTCTGTGCAATCTCCTGCATCGACGGTTGGTCCGAGCCCTCGGTCCACGAAAATCACCTTCAGCCATGGCGGCCGTAGATTCCGCGGCCAAGGGGCCAATCACGGCCAACATCTGCACCAGCGTCAGACTCAGAGCTCGAATTGGGTTATCTCCACTGAGGGTCCAATGGTCGAGGGCGGCCGTTACGGCCATGAGGAGAAGGCCCACCACCGGGCTCGCAATCGCTTCTGGGAAGCACGAGTTGCGCGCATTCTGCGCATCTGCAACCTGCTCCATAAGAGCAATGGCGAGGGCAGCCATGGCTCAGTCGAGGTCTACCTGGACCTGTTTTTGGGCAGCTCGAGCCCTTATAGCTACACGTTTGGCAGCTTAACACTTCCTCCAGATGTTCCTGCGCACACATGTGCTACTATACACCATATTTATACATCATGGTTTATACATGTGTATACATTTATCATTTATGATTGGTTTATCATTGGTTTATCATGGTTTATACATCCCAGTTTTTGACATGTCTTCGGAAATACGATGCTAAACCATGATACACCTCTAAAATCCGGGGTACTGTCTATCCATTTTTTGCATCCAGCTTGTCCGCAAGATGAAATAACAGTTGTGCAGTCACCGTCACGCCTCGGCTTTCTCCAGCTTGTAGTTCTTCTTGTACCTGGAAACCATGGAAACTCCAGATATTGGGACTAGAATTCGAATATTGCTGTGGAATGAGACAGAACATAGAACCTCTGTTAAACATTCTCAAACTTGACTCCCGTTGCGAGGATCTCACCACTTGCTTTTCGGCCACAAAGCTGCCCAAAAACTCCATTTTAAATCCCACAGATTCACATCTTTGACCACGCGCAGCGGGGCGTGGTGGCCCAACGATTTCCAGCAAGGATTCTTCGAAGTCAGGACGTCAGGACGTCACATCGGCCACCGTGAAGCCAAAGATCTTCACGGATTCATCGACATTGAGGCGCAACTTTAAATCGACATGGCCACCACCCAACCAGAATTGACCAGAGGCCAGCTTGGTAATTTCATCGCTGAGCACCATGGGAAGATCCTGTGTTGCAACCGAGGATTTTCCCATGGAAAAAGATTTAACGGGAAAGGTCAGGGGCCTATTGGTCGTAGATTAACACACGGTGTGAAACCTCAGTTTCATGAAATATTCTCATCCAAATTGCTTAGTCTCATCATCCCAGGTATGATGGACAAAATCAGAAACAACCCATGGTACCGGCACCTGCCCCAGTGGTGTCACAGCATTGTGCCCGCAGCCCGTCATCTCTTGACAAGCAGTTCCTTCCAAAAGTCGCATGTTATACTGTTTCTTTCCAAGTGGTGGAAGACCTTTTGCACTTTCCATCCCTTGAACCACCTTGATCAGTTTCTCCTTATGAAGCTTTGCCACATATTGTACAATCACCAGCACACAGCGTACACGGCCTGCTTCACTGCTGGCATCTAGCTTAGTGTTTTCCAAAACCACGCTCTTGCACAATTCCTCCACAGAATTGGCACTCAATCTGTCACGTCTCCATTCCAGGGATTGCTCATAGTATGGAGGATCTGCATCAACCGCTAACAGCAAGGATGAAAGGTTCAGTGCTTTGGCTTTGTCTTCCATGGCCTTTTGCACCTCCTCCACCGACCCATCCGCTCCGTTCGCTCCGTTGTCTGCCACCGGATTGGTCGGGACCGGATCCTTCGGACCCTTCGGATGCGCTGCAGTGACAACCTTGGTGAGGAGCACTGCGGAAGACAGCACCAACGGCAGGCCACATGAGCGCAGGTCATCTAAGGAGGACATGATGTGGCGGCTGATGCAGCTGGGGGGTGTAAACAGCTTCTGCAAAACTCGAGTACTGTGTTAAACTGCTGGGGAAGCAAAATTTGAACGCTTGAGTTGTATCTCTGATTTAAAGTCCGCATCAAGGATGTTCTAAACTCAAAGCCGGCCCAGACTTGATACAAGGCGATGGCCGGTGTCAATGTGTGGCAAGGCACACTCCCAATAATAATCCCTGGCCCAGTCTATCGAAGCACTCTTCTGTTTGAAGGCAAACCGTCTGCTTGAAAAATGCAAAACCTGATATTTCAATCTGCACTTGATGAAGTGGCAAATCCAATCACAACCACCTTGCCATTGGAAATAATGAATGAATTGTGGTCTTCGGGATGTTCTTTCTCCATCCGCACCTGTTTTTTGGACACAACAATTGGAAACCTGGACATTCCTGGTGAGACTCAAAGAGTGACAACCCAGCTTTGGGGGCATGCCACAACATTAGGCGTTGAGGGGTGCGGTCGTGCCCTGGCCCCTTGCTGCCAAACGACACAGCGAGTACCCGGGATCCCCAAATTTGTTCCAATATTTGTTCCAATATTTGTTCCAAAATCTGGATTAAATCAGAGAAAATCTAAAGACTCAACACATCCAGATTTTGTTCAACCAAAGGTCGCGGGCTCCTCAACTGAGTAAGAGGCGGCCGAATCTTTCAGCCAAACGTGATCGGCTGTGAAACGATCACCCCAGCGGCAGGCAGCCTGTGCTTTGAAGCTATTTATATTTGAATGATTATCAGCGAAATATTTAGAGTCAAAGCACTGGAAATCCCTCCTTTTATGGATGTTCCTTGAAAAATGGTATTGCGGGTTTGACCCATGCTGTTCTGCTGAAAATATCTACATGCTACATCTCCTTGGATATCTTGTGTCCACAACAAAAGGCGAACAAAAGCAAGACTTGCCACAAGCCAAAGCTGATTGCACTTCGGCAACAGCGCATGAGAATCATAACCCCCTGTCAACCCATTTGTCGACTCATTGTTGGCTCCTGGCTCTTGTGGTGGCCACATCAAGCAGATTTCTCTTACAAACTCGCGGCCTTCTGTGATTCACTCCTCCAAAAATCCACAACTTCGTGTACAATCTTCTTATCTCTTCGTTCCTAATCCTTCTAACAGATTCGGAAGACGCAGGGCCAGAAGATATCACAAGCTGCTGACATCCGATAAACCTGGCCTATGGCAACATCCGTCGGAGAGCTCTTTCGTAGTACCAAGGTATGTGCTGCACAGACCTGTGATCCCCATGTGCATGCGCCGCATCTGAAGGTTTCGGAGATGAACCTTTTGGAAGGTTTGGGGCATACAGTGTGGCAATGTGTGGCCTGTAATTTTCAGACTCACAGGAGGATCATGAGGCAAAACACTGCACTTTTCAACGACGAGTGAATTTCTGAGGCCCTCGCTTTTTGGCAGCCAGCTCCGTCATTCGATCTGGCAGGTCTTGCTTCAGAACCTGATACAAAGACCCAAGAAGTGTCTCCCACAAAACCACAGGTTTCAATACTAGTGGTCATCCATGACCTGGATGATTCGGGGCTGCCCCCATGGATTCGAAACCCCCAAAATCACCATATTTGGAGCTTCTTGGGCCCCCCCACTCTATCAATGAGCGCATTTCGCTTCACCGACTTCTTCTGCGCCTCAAGGAGGGAAGGGGTGCTACCCATGACCATGCATCATTGGAAACAATGGCCGACCTCTAATACCATTGATGCACCAACGGTGCGAATGAGGGCACTCTGCATCGCGAAGTACTGAGTGTCCTCAGCTTAACTGGGCTGGTGATTTGATCTGGAAAGTAGACTACCCCTAAATTTCATGGTTTAGTTTTTAGAACTATCAAATAATCGCCACAACTTGGTTTTAGTTGTTTAAAAAATCGGGTCTGGGTTTCTCTGAAAATCGGGTACCTCCCAAAAAAAACATTCAGTTGATCCTCATGTTCCCTACCCACCCTCTCGTAATCTAACAGTTTGCTGTTTAAAAATCACCAATTTCAATATGTGAATCGCCTCAAAATTGGGCCATGTTCTACAAATCCACCATTTAGTTCAATATCATTTTCCCAGCTACCTCCATTTCCCATCATTTCCCATCACTTTCCATCGCAATCTCCGAAAAAACTACGGCCGGCGGACGCCAAAATTATTGCCACTCTCGCTGGTGCGAGGCGAATCTCTGCTGGGCGGCGGCACCTGGCGATGAAGCAAATGCTGGTTGCCATGGGATTTCTGAGCTGATACCCTCTGGTAATGACTAACGTAGCTATTGAAAATGACCATTAATAGTGGATTTTCCCATGAAAAATGGTGATTTTCAATAGCTATGTTAAATTACCAGAGGGTATGAGATATGACTTCCCATGAAACCACCATGATAAAAATCATATCCGGGATATGAATAAACATGGTGGTTGAAAATGGGAATAAACATGTCAGGACATGATGTAATGGGAACATCATGGCTGTATAATGATGGTCAGTGGTTATCAATGGGATAGGACATACCAACTCCATTCAATTCGGCTGCGCCTGAAAATGGCTTCTACACACCCAAACCCAAAATATTCCAAAATGGTTACGCTATTTTTAGAAAAAACCATCTCACATGTCTAACATGTCTGTGCAGGTTTCATGAGGTCTTCAGAATGGCAGCTTTTGTGTATGGTCCTTACACTAAGTGCTCAACATGCTTTGAGCCGTTCCGGGTATGGCCGGCATGGCCTTGTCAATGAATCCTCTGCTCACTAACATCCGAGTGGCTCGGAATAGCCGTAGCCTGGGAGCGCCGGAGTTCTCGTGGTGAAGGGCTACTCAAGGCCCGAAAGCTGCATGAAAGACTCTATAACAGGTGGATAATCATCAGCGTACTTATATCCGATGACGATGATGATGATGATGATGATGATGATGATGATAAAAGGAGTAGCAATTATACTAGTATACTATACGCTGATATAATCTACTTAATTGGTAGGTAGCTCTGGTCAAACTCAATGTAATGTACAAGCGGAGTCAGTGCGCTACCGCTGAGTCTTCAGGCAGGTCAAAGTGAGTCGCTCCACCCCATTGCGAACAACTGCCTCAGCTTTGCACGTTGAACCATCCAGCTGAAGCTAGGATATAATGGGAATTCATGGGATATAAGGGGATATAAAACCAACCATACATCTGCTCTCCAATCTTTGTGCAATATTTTTTCTCGCAACCTCTGAGGCCTGTTCTTGCTGCCAAGTCTGGAAGAGTAAAAGACCCTTCGAAGCACGTGGACATTTTCAGCGCCGCCATCTGCAGGGCAACAGATTGGATGCTCAAGCAGTACTGAAAGTCAGCGGATTCCTGATGAATGCCCAATGAATCGCCGAAATGACCCTTTGAGCATCTCAAATGCTATCTCAAGTATCATCCCAGATGATTCACCCCATCATGATAAGTTCTGCATCGTCTTTCAAAAAAAAAACACTGCGGTGAAAGACCTTTGAAAAACCATCTCTGCCCTGGTTTTTTCAGTGTGGGCATTTCCACACCTCAATGGGGTCCAAGGACTCGATATTGCACACTGTGCCACCCACCATGGCGGTATGGCTCCATGCAGCAATGTCAATTTTGTCCAAAGCCGCACTTGCCGACGCGCCACTCTTCACCTGCTGGCCGTGGCTGTCCAAAAATGGGTTTCAACACCCCATTTTTGAGTCAATCGTCAGTGGTAATCATGAAACCTTTCCCTAGTTTAGAATCAGTTCTAGTATAGCCAGTATAGCTATATATATATATGAAATCCATTTTGGACACAAACCCTGACCGCTGTGATGGATGATTCAACATGAACCAAAATGAGCTCGGAAAAGCTACCTTTCTCTTGGCGTCCAATTACTGTCTGGATGCGTCGCCACAATTTCCCATGGCTCCTAACCCTTGCCAAGACTGAATCTAGGTGTCATCTTCAAGTTTGATGCCAAAATAAATAAATATATTATATATATATGTAATATGTATGGTCAGAATTTCGTACCCCCCAGATTAGATTATTCATGGCAATATCTCAAAAATGACCGTTGAATAAGCAATAATTACAGTATCTGTGGCCACCCTCTCTGAGTGGGTCTGTCTGAAAATCGTTGCTCCAAACTCCCAGGGTTTATCATCAGATTTCCCCATGAAAATGGCCATAACTTGGGGGTCAATCCCCCAGATTCAGACGCAAAAAAAATCACATTGGTGCTGATTGAATCTTTTGTCTGATTCATCCCAATAAATATTCAAGAAAATCCTGGTTGGATCATCATCATCATCATCATCATCATCATCACCAAACCCAAACTTACCCAAACTCTTCCTTTGTTGTTTCACCACAACAAAAATATGGCCGCGGCCAACAGGCCTGGCCTTCAGATTGCCATCTTGCAGCAGCTGATCCAAGGTTTCCCGGATGTAGAGCGGATTGCTCATGGTCACCTGCCCAGTTGGCCCAGTTTTTTCGGGAAATTTGGGCATGTTTTTTGGGAAATGTTGGGGAATTCCGGAATTCATGCGAATTCCCCGAAATTTCCCCCAAAAAATGGATGTGATTGGTAATGTTGGCGCCTGTGACACGAAGCGTCTCAAGGGAGGGGGCACCGCATCTTCGGGGATACCCAGGTAGCTGGCCATGTACTCCAGGATGTGCTCTTCCTCAACGAAACCGAGCATCAAGACATCACAAAAACGCAGATCTTGAGAGGATCTGAGGGGCAAAAAATCGCTGCCAAGCGACGTTGAGGCCATTCAGGCTCAGGAGGTTTCCTGATGACATAGCATCCTTCACGCACTGCTGATCTTGACCGGCCTGCAGAGCACATCAGGAAACTCGTCAACATCGGCTTCATCCTCAATCGGCAACACTTTATAAGACTTTATATATTTGTACATCCAAAACCCCCAAATAACTGCTGCCAGAAAATCCCAGAATGAAAACCGGCGAGCCTTGCGGACGAGAACCAGCCCCGCGACGGACTTCTCCTGTCACGGGAATGCTTCACCCTGCTCTTTGTTGTGGTCGAAGGTCTGGTTGTGGCTACTATCGGAACCAATGAAATTGTGAGTGTCTGTTTGGCTGTCATTCGCATCCACTTGGTGCTTTTTCTTCACTTCTTCTCCTCCCTTCCTCCATTTCCCTCTTTTCCTTCTGATTCTTGAATTTTTGGTTGTCATGACTGACTAAATCTTAGTGCTGCCCTGATTGCTGCTGCAAGTGATCTTGCTATCTGCTGTTGTTGCTGTTGTTGCTGCCATCACTTCAGCAGAAGTTGAAGTTCCCGTGGTGGTTGCCATCATCACTTTGCAGTTGCGCAACAGTGTTGGTGCCTTGGATGTAGGTGGCAGCGAAACCGTCCAAAACCACACCAGCCTTGTTGACCAGAAGACTAATCTCTGAGGTGAATCTCCAGAAGATTGCCTCAAGCAGAAAGGCACCGGCTTATAAGTTCTTCCCCTGCCATAACTGTCCCGTTGAGAAGCCCTGACGTCTGACATCACCCTGTGAACTTCTGTGCTTTCAGATGTCTTAAGAATAGCAAATGCTCTTGGAAATGTTGTTATGAAATCCGCCCACACCGCTTTGGCGGTGAAGGCGTGCTTATTGGGGGGCAACAGCAACACTAAATGCTCAATGACATTTGTTAATATAGCAGTCGCTATATCAGCTTTAGCTGGGGGGGGGCCAAAAACGGTTTCGCACCGAGACCAGAATACGGTGGTGTTTTCGACATTTTTCGAGGATTTTTGGGTGTCTGAGCGCAAGAGGGTATTGAAATGGAATTTTGGGTCATTTTGGTAGCTTTCCGGCAATGGAAAAACGGCCAAAAATGAAAAAAACATTGTACATAGCAAGATTTTGCAGGGTTTTTGGATGCCAGAGCATTGAAAACACTGCAAAAACAAGTGTTTTGGACTGACGTTATAGCAAAAAACGTGTAAATTACCGTATGCTTGACTGGAAACATTACAAAAACACTGTCAAAAGCAATGTTTTGGAAGGATTTACTGCCTTTATGGCAAAAAACGTGTAAATTACCGTCTGTTTGACTGGAAACATTGGAAAAACACTGTCAAAAACAATGTTTTGGAAGGATTTCTTATATATATGTTGGAGTTGGCTACCGGCATTGGCACATGGAAAAATTGAAGAAAACACTGTAAATAGCGGTATTTTCAACGGTTGGGGAGATAAGGGAATTGGAAGCATTGTCGAACATGATGTTTTCGACCGGTTTTATGGCGACAAAAGTGTAAAGTACCGTGCTTTGAAGGAAACCATTGCAAAAACATGGAAACACATTCAAAGAACACGGGATTTGGGGGACTATCTAGGCGTCGTTGTCTAGCTATTTGAAATTCCGCAGCTTGGAGAGCCTCCAAGGGAGGGAAAAGTGAAAATTCCATAGCTTGGGAAGCTGTCACGGCGGGGAAAAGTGAAAATTCCCTAGCTTGGGAAGCCCCCACGGGGGGGGAAAGTGAAAATTCCCTAGCTTGGGAAGCTGTCACGCCGGGGAAAAGTGAAAATTCCCTAGCTTGGGGAGCCCCCACGGGGCGGGAAAGTGAAAATTCCCTAGCTTGGGGAGTCCCCACGGGGGGGAAAAGTGAAAATTCCCTAGCTTGGGGAGCCCCCACGGGGGGGAAAAGTGAAAATTCCCTAGCTTGGGGAGCCCCCACGGGGGGGGAAAGTGAAAATTCTTAGCTTGGGGAGCCCCCACGGGGGAAAACCACCCTTAGCCCCTCTCACGGACCGAAATAAACCTGCGGTGTGGGCGGCCACCCCACGCGAAGCGGGGTGAATATCCCATGATAAAAGATATCCATTAATGTTCATATGATACTTCATACAACCCGTAGCATCCATAGCATCCATAGCAGATCTTTAATGCTTCATATATATATATACCATTCTTCATCTCCCCATGATATAGCCATGGTGTCTTGGAACAACTCAGCTCCAGACCAGGTCCTTTTCGGCCGTCTTTTCGAAGAGATTTGTTCCCTGTCGGACTTTCTGAGGTCAACGAGATTTGGAATGGGGATACAATGGGGATATGAAATGGTGTATACACAGCTATGTGTTTGTATATATATATATGTATAATTATGTATAATTATATGTATAATTATATGTGTACAAAGTCTCCCAGGAAAAAAAAAAACATGGTATAAAGGGGGAAAGAAAAAAAACTCTCCGCATCGACGACAACACACCCCAAGGTCAAAGTTCTTCCCGCAATTAGGCTACATGTTTTTTGCCAACTTCCCACCTGCTCAAACTGAAGGACCACCAAGATTCCTGTCGTCACAGCTGTGGATAGAGTTTGTATGCAGCGTTCGCTCCAGTTTGTTGGCTTGACCGTCCTGTCTTGCTTCTGAGCCCAGCAAGAAGTGAGACAATCACCTGGCGCATTTCGTCGCAAATTTTGCCTGAGAGCCTGGCCTTTCACCCCTATTTGGAGGGGTCCAAAGTCTATGGTTTTCCATAAAATATCCATAATTTCCCCTGGTTTTGATTGATGTCGTCACGACGTTACCAAATGGTTCTGAGATCATGCCCATCATATTTCCCATTCTAATCGCCTTACCTGGTCAGGGTAAGCCCGCAATTTCCTATGCACCCAAAGAACACCTCAGAAAACCTCATCCGATCATCGCCCCATGGAATCCATGGCCTTGGATCCCACATCGATCCCACATCGATCCCACATCGATCCCATCCCAAGTGCCTTCAGGGCAACATCCAGTGCCGCTGGGCTATCGGAACTCTGGGTCAGGAGCTCGGACAAGGTGGGCATGCTGCCGGCCTCAGCTCATAGCAGAGCTCTGCTCATTGGAAAATTTTCGGCTGGGAAAAAGGCCTAGAAAAAATGGGATTTCCGTGCTGGATGATGATAGTTCCCAATATCTTGGATAGTCTTTGGAATTCGGAAAGCTCGCGGACCTTGGGCACATCTTGGAATCTCGTGGTGAACAATGTGATAAATGTGATAGCTTTGCGACTTTTCAGTGCACAATCAAGATCAGAATAATCCACAGATGGATGCTCCTTACCTTGGAGAGACTGTTAATGTTATCGAAGTCGAGGCAAAAACCTGCGGCCCTATCGCTGTGTGAGCTCCAAGCGAAGACTGAACTTGCCATATTTTCGTAGGGACGATTTGGAAGCCCGGAGGATCCGGAGGTGGCAAGAACTGCGTCAAGTCTTCCAAGAGATCTCTTAGACACTTTTTCTGGCAGCAATTCCTCGGACCTAACAAACATCTAGTCGCAGAAGGAAAAACTACACTCAAATAGAGAGAGAGAGAGAAGAATTTTCCAGTGCCCAGAAGATCCCAGAAATACCAAGCTCCAAACATATTGAGGTGAGATGAGTTTCTCCAGTGCCTCAGTGTGTTCCAGTTGTGACGATCCATGGCAGTCCGTGAAGCTTCTGCCCCCACCTGCACATCATCTGGCGGAAGGCTGGGACTCATCATCCGGTAGACCGCCACCTCGGGAATGATGGGTCTTAAAGTGGGAGATTGACCCAACAAACCTAAGGACCTATATATTACAGTATAATCAGTATATCATTATATGATAATTATATGAGAAATATATCATATTACATCTAGAATTTTCATATTACTTCCCCAGATTATAGAACAATTACCATTCTACTGAAAACATGGTAATGATCATCTCATAATCAAGTCCACCGGATTCAACGGGGTATCCTCTCCAAAAATCATCCAAAAGTTTTCGTAGCAAAAACACCATGTTTTTGGGCCCTGTCTGAAAGATTCCCACTTCGCTGAGTCTGAGGCTATACTTCTCAGCAGCTCAATGGCCATCCGATTGGATTCCCCAGGCCTGGAGCGTCAAGGCTGATGCAAGTCACGACATATTCCGCGCGTGGGACTGTGACTATACCGATGGAGCTCCTTGGCTCCATCCGGTAGCCACTGGTTTCTTTCCCACAGCGCCTTGGGCCCATGGTGCCAAAGACGGGCATCATCTGAAACCTGGGAGATGACCCAGGGTTGCTGCAGGTGCTTATTGACTGTTTAGGGCGAAACCCTGGTGAAAGGGATTTGATTCGGAAAAAAATCACTGGGGAAGCGTTCAAAACAACTGCGGCGCAGCTCCGTATGGCGACCCTGAGGCATCGCACTGCGTGGCACAATGCGCAATAATGTGCTCAGCAAGCTCAATCTTGCCAGTGCCTGCAGGATCCCAAAGGCTCCAACACAACACTGAAGATGGCATGCATGACAGGGAAACAGCACCAGCGTCGGCATCGGCGTTGCAATCGTCATCAGCAGCATCATCGTCATCGTCATTGTCGCCACCAAACTCGCAAGACCGAATCAATGAGCTCATCAGCAGCAACAGGAGCACCAGTCCATTTTCCAATCCCTTCACTCCACTGGACCTGTAGCTCCCTCGATGACGACTAAACCTCCATCTGCGAAGGGGCTACCAGCTGGTGCCTCCCAAGATACCAGGGCAGAAAAATTGCCACAAGGGAGAAAAACTGGTTGTTGTGGCAGGTCGGATACTCACCAAGTTTCAGTTCTATGGTTCCTTAGTAGCCCCTCATTGTTGGAATACGAACAGCCCATGAACAAAACGCAGCTTTTGTACTCGATCATTCGGCACCTTGGAGCGCCCCACTGGAGTAGACCCAATGGTCTGCTCGGGAGAATGCAGCACCTTCGGCCAGGCGTGAGCATCAATAGTGTTTTTGGGGGGTCCAGTTGGGGTCTCCGATTTCTGATATTTCTGATCACTGGAAGGTTGAGTTGGAACGTCCAGCTGGAATATCAGCTACCACTCTCCACGTCTGGAATTTTCAGAAAAAAAAACACCAGCTACCAGCTACGGCTCAAAAATACAGCAGAAACGCACCTTGTTGAAGGGGCCACCCAGCATCTCAGCCACTTTCACATTGGCTGTCCACTTCTGTATAGAGCAGAGGTGTTGTACCTGGCATCGAATTCTGGCCATGATGCCCTGGCCATGGCCATGGCATGGCCATGGGCATCCAACCTTCGTCTTGGCCGTCAGGACGGGATCTTTGGAGGTCAGGCTGCTGCCGTCCAGGAGATTGTCCTCGGGGCGAGCAACCAGAGATGTGCAGGGATTCCCACGGCCTACTGGGCTGGTTGGTGGTTGACCTAGCCCTGAAAAATATAAGTTAGTCAATTGGGATCATGAAATTCCCAAGATATGGAAAAATAATCCAAATGTTCCCAAGATATAAAAGTCAATTGGGATCATGAAATTCCCCAGATATGGAAAAATAATCCAAATGTTCCCAAGATATAAAAGTCAATTGGGATCATGAAATTCCCAAGATATGGAAAAATAATCCAAATGTTCCCAAGATATAAAAGTCAATTGGGATCATGAAATTCCCAAGATATGGAAAGTCATAAAATTCCATGGTTCCAAACCACCAGTGGCTAATGTAACCAATGTAACCCCCTTGTAGAGCGGTACCGATCAACCCACTTTTGGATCGGCAAGCCATGCCCAACTGGCTCAGCCCGGAACGTACCAAGGAAATCGAATCTTCCGATCCATGGTCACACCACAGGCACCAGCTGCCTAGGCTTCAAGACATTAAATACCCAAGGGCCCAAGGGAACACGTCAAGGTCACCAATGGAACACGTGAGGTAAGACGTCAAGGTCGTTTCTCTGAAACCAGGGTTCATCGTTGACCCAAAATGATCCAAACTCCATTGGTTCATCATGGGTCATGGGTTCATCCCTCTCTCCACTTGGACTTGTCCTCCTGCCTCGCGAGGAACTGGCTGGAAAATCGGGATGGGGTTCGCTTTCCCCTTCACCTGTCGGCTGCCAGCGTAGCACTTGGCAACGCACAGGGCGTGTGGAAAGCTAAGAATCCAATTAGACCCATCAAAAGAATGGGAAAGTATTGGAAAAGCATCGCTTATTCACATTTCTTATTGGACTTCTTCACATTTCTTATCCAATACATTCAAATACTATTGCAAGATATTGCAGGTCGAAATGGAAGGAATGGAAGGAATGATCTACAATGGTATACACAGTGTATATATATATACATATGTATATATATATATATGTATATATATATATAAATGTATAATTACTCACGACAAGAAAGATGTTACACCACAACCAAACTCAGCAGTCAGCACATGAGACTCACGTGCTCTCACCGTGGCGCCCCGAGATTCGCCACCCTTTGTCTCCCTTTTTTTCTCGCCTTAATGGGAGCCAGTGCTTTGAAGATCATCTCACCTGGCATCAGTGATGATCAGTATCAGTCTAAAGAGTCGAAAGTCAAAACGCAAGTATCCCAAAATGGATTGGCTCTGTATATAGAGATAGAGAGATAAAATATAGATAGATAATTAGATTAGATTAGATTAGATTAGATTTGGTTGGATTAGGTTAGATTAGATTGGATAAGATTAGATAAGCTTAGATAGAGTAGATGGACAATAGTATAGGACAGATAAGATAGATAAGATAAATGATATAGCATAAGATAAGATAATATAAGATAAGACAAAATAGAATAAGAGAAAATAAGATAAAATAAAATAAGATAAAATAAGATATGATGAGATAAGATAAGATAGGTAGGTAGACAGATAGATTATTTACTACTATATAAGCATGAGCGACTTTGCAAATTTGATCTCCAAGTCTGGCCGATCTTGTTTTTCCTGTTGAACTTCTAACATCTCTCCCTCCGCAGTGTGAGAATCTTCCCCCAGGCCTGTAGACTGTTTGCTGGTCTCCTCATCAGCGAGAACACCCAGTGCGGGCGCATTGGCCTGCCAGCGCTGTCTCAAACTTGGAGGATCTGAGGATATTCCCATAAAATTCCCAAAATCAGATATTTTTCCTCAGAATCAGGAATTCATGTATTATACATGTGTCATCCCAAATCAGAATCATAAATCCGGATATCCCGGTGTTTTGTTTTTTCATTGTGAAAGGATCCCTTTCTGGTTTTTTCCCCTGTGGGCTCTGCAGCTGCACCAACCAGCAAGGAGGCCAGCAGCACCATTAAGCGGGCTGACAAGTTGACGCAGTCACCCAAAACCTGGATTCACACCGCGACATGAAAAATATTAAAATGGCTTCAGACACAGCCTGGAAGTCGATTTTTTGCCTGGATGTTCCCAACTGATTTCCAACCATACTGGTTGCTTCATGATAATTCCCAATGTGTATATATATATGTATATATATATATATGTTTATATATAATATTATATATCTCTGGGTAAATTATAATATTTCACTAACCTGAAATAAGGCTATTTTGGGATAATTCTCCTTATTGACTATGATTCCAGTGAGGTCGCAGTGAGGTCGTTATAATTTAACCAGATATATATTTAAGTTATATGACTTTAAAACTTATATCCCCAGATATTTGCTAGTTCAAAGCCCATCAACATCAAAGCCTAAATCAGAACTGCCAAATCTCGCCCAGACACTGTGTATTCCATCCTCTTGGCACTGCCACAGACGCCACAATAACTGCGGCCAGTGGTGACGCCAAATCGCCCAACCAGTTTCAGGCGCTTGAAGACCTGGGTTCCAATTTTTGGCAGTTCGGCGGATCAGTGGAGTGAAGAAGGGGAAGGTGGAGATTGGTATTGCAGGATGGCATTGATTAGTATTGGTTCATATTGGGTCATATTATATTCATATTGGTTAGTGTGAAGTTGGATTCCAAACCACTTCTGTCAGATATCACCAAGCGAAACTCACCTGAAACCCGGCCATGCGACACTCACCAGCTCCTTGCTGGCCAGCACGGCCCGTGCAGGGTCGTCGGGGTGCACCAAGGGTGGCAGCCCGAAGACCAGCAGAAACAGCCTCAGGGGGGTTATGGTAGATACAATGGTAGATGATATAACTGATATAACCAACAACTATGAACCCCAATTGGTTTTCATTTTAAACTTTTACTAAGTTTGTGGTTTATAAACCCCATGATACATCCATACTTCATGATGGTTTAGAAACCAACAAAAATGAGGGGTACCACCTTCTGGCACTGCGAGGGATGGATGTAACGGTGGTTGAACTGTCCATCTCAAAAAACACACATGCCATGCCACGGAAATGGTCTACCACGCAATTTCTGGATATGCCAGGTAGGCTTGAAAACAAACTAGAAGATCTAGAAGTTGAATAAATCAGGACACATTGCGGTGCATGGTGGATTGCTTCAACTTCGCTGCGTTGAGCCCAGCGCATGCCCTTGTCGTCAATCAGGAACTTGTTGAGAGTTCCTTCATGCGAGTAGCACACTTTCTGCACCTCAGGGGCAACGCCCGGAACGCCCGGAACGTGGTGCTGTGGGATCCCAAGGTGATCGGCGCTGGGGCTGCCACGGAAGACATCAGTTCCTGCGCCTGCTTTGGGCCATCCTGGGACATGACCTCAGGAAATCTTCGTGAGCAGTGGTCAAGACATCATCGACATCCCGGGTTTGTCAAATTTCCCCAATAATCCCAATATATTCCAATATTATGAAGGTTATGAAGGGTTATGAAGGGTAAGTAGTATAACTTTTCCGAACTCGTCATCAACTGTGCACTGTTTTGAACATTGCTCAACTGTGCACTTGATCCAAAGGAGAAAAGCTTTGAGCAATGGGGTCATCACGTCCAGACCGGAGCCATTGATGAAGAGCACTGAAATCTTGCCTCGCAACGACCAAGAGCCCGGTTGATTGGGTAAAAAACTGCCAGGTTTGTCAGGGACTACATGGGACTACTAGTGACTAGTGACCATATATCGGAATCCAGAATAAAATGAATAAAAAAATGACAAGATATGACCAATCAAGTTGAATTTGAACATCTATTCTGGCACAAGGGCTTCGAATGCTTCGATTTCATTCGATTTCAATGTGTGCTCAGATTCTCAGCTCCATCTAGGCATGTCACGCATCTCGTTGACATAGGGAAGCGTTCCACACTCGATCTGCTTGAACACAGCAGATGGGATGTATCTCCTGCAACAAAACTGCAGTCGTCTCATCAGGTTCCGTCAAAATGCAAGTCATGGAGTGGGACCTGGTGATGTTGAGTTGAGCTAGCTTGAAGCAATTCTCTGCCCGCGAGTCGTAGAGCTGCGTGGCATATTTGATGGTAGGGAAGGTGTACTTCGATTCATCCTCAGCAGTTGGCAGGGAGAGCACGGATAAAATGTTGGGAAAGAATCAGAAAATAATCACAAATCAAGTGACAAGTGACAGGGACGTTTTGGTCGACTTGTCAGTCATTCAGCAGCCATTGGCTTGGCAGTTTTAAGTCCCAAACCATTCTCAGGAGCAGATGAAAGTCCATGCGATCCTGCGGAGTGAATCCCTGCAGCCCATCCCTATCTCCCCAACCCCAATGAAGCCACGAAAAACCGGAAAGTCATAGATCAAACCAGGAGAATCTTCGGAAACCCTGCAAATCGCGCGGGTAAAATCTTGGAAAATCTCGTACAGTAACATCTTGGAACATCCCAAAAAACCTTGGAAGATCGTGTGGAAAATCTTGCATCCGCGAAAATCCATCGTATGCTGCGCAGCTAGGTCCTTGAGGGGCCTGCCCTCGATCACACAATCCTTGACCAGCTCCCAAGCCTCCAACGTTTCCCCGGAAGGCCACCACGACGTGTCCATGGGACAGCCAGGAAATATGGTGACTTCAGGTTGATCCAACCAACCAAAACGATGCAAAAATTAGGTTACAGCCGCAAAAAACGAGAATATCATAGGAATTTCAAACGGATATTAGATGTGAATAGATGTGATTAGCATAATGCTTGTCTATTGAACCAAAATGAACCAAATGGGGGTTGTGGGTTTCCTGAAATGCAGGCCCCAAATCATCCAAGTGAGGTCGCCTGCGGGCTGAGACAGGTCTCGCCATTTTCGGCCAGAGGCTCGGCCTTGGGTGGACATCATCTGTGGGCATCGGGTGGCCCTGTGGCTGGGCTGGCTGGGCTGGCTGGGCTCGGTCTGAGATCGCCACAATTGAGATCTGTTCTAAAGGTGCCCCAGCGATCAAGTACTCAATCCTGGTGAAGCTTGAAAGTTTCATGGAAAGTCTTCGTCATCTTTCCGAGACATGATGCTTCAGATACCGAAGAAATCAAACTGTCCTCGGGATATGAGTCTCTGGTGGCACGACACCCCCAACCTGCGACTCCACCAAAGAACCAGGCAAGGCAGTAGAATCAGTAGAACACTCTGCCAATAATTCAATGAGGACAGTCTTTGCTTATGTCTTACATTATAGTTTTCAAGCTATAAGAGGCCTTAAAAAGGTAGAGAAGTATGCTACCACATCTACCACTATTTCAGCAGTGCTTTTTTGTTTTTGGGTATCATATAAATCCTTTCTGCCATCAGATGTTTTGCTGCAGATCTGCCATGAGATGCACCTGAAGGATGCTGATCTCTCCACATCCGACGCCAATGTGCAAGCTCAGCCGGACATCAACCCCTCAGGAGAGCACATCACTGCTGGCTTCACCAACCCAACAGAAAGTACACAAGTCATCAGTGCCTCATCTGCTGGTTTCAACCTTTCCGATTTTTTGTTTCTGAATTGGAATCATCCCAAAATAGCGCTGGTTCCTGTGGTTCCTTTAGAAATCGAAACCACCAACCAGCTATGCCTTGAGTCCCGATTCAGTTCAGCCGCCTGTCTCAAACATATGAAGCCGCTTGTGGATCTCAATGCAGCACGCCGACCTCGGACCCGGCACAGCGATCGGTGCCCATCAGACTCCCAAGGCGACTCGGTCTCGCACGCCCGGAGCACTGCTGTTGCCATTGGACCTGGTGATGCTGCAATGCTCGGATCACAGCGATCAAACTTAAGTTACTTGGCACTTCCCAGACTCGACTCTCTCTTCATTTCTTCATAAAATGGGCCTTCCTTGGGACGGCTGGACTGCTGGATGGACTTCCGACATTTTGTGTTCAAAGATCTCTGTGAATCTTCTACTCATTGAATCTACTATGGTTCTATGGTTTGCTTTGGACATGTGTACGATCCATGCAGTCTATATGTAAATAGTATTGAAAATCATGCAGAACTACACAAAACTATCCCATCTTGTTCCCTTCAGTTCTAAGTTGGATAGCGCTCATTAACTACAGATACATCTCCACCATAATCCACCATAGACCCTATTTAGTCCATTGTTCAAATCAGATTGGCTAGCTAAGTAAGGGGCATTTCATTATATGTAACAAACATACACGAGTCAGAAATATATTATCCAGAAAAATGTGAATACTAGATATGGATACATATGTAGATACATACAAAAACATACATAAGCGGCACATATATAATATATTGTCGTGTTTCTATACCAAAACTAATATCTATACTTAATGAATATTAAATTATATCGGATCGATCTATGTATCATATATATATATCATATATATATATATATCATATATATATATCATATATCATATATATATATATATCATATATCATATATATATATATCATATATCATATATATATATCATATATCATATATATATAGATAGATAACTGTACTGTTTGTAAAGCAATAGTAAACCAGCCCCAAATTGACCAACGGTGATGGGAAACCGGGAACCCGCGCCCAAGTCATCCAGGCCGAAGGATCCATGCGGCGGCACGATACCTGCACGTTTCGATCCGTCGACGCGGGAAGAAACGTGGCCAAACGATGGAAAATCCATGGAAAATCCATGGAAAATCCATGGAAAACTGGAGAAACTATGGCAAATCCATGGAAAATCCATGGAAAACGACGGAAAAACTCTGGTTTTGGATGTTTTGGGAGTCTTGAAGCGGATTGGATATCATTTTTCCGACCTCGAAGTGCTACCCAAATACGAGGCAATGACAGCCAAGACACCATTAAAGGCCGTAGACTTGGTGTCGTCAACTGAAGGGAAGTAGATCATCCTTAGAGCATGGTTTAGCTTCACTCCCAATGTCTGTGGGTCAGCCCTTCGCCAAAACAGCGGATGACTCGAGCAGCGGGGCAGCCGAGCCACAACGCATCGCCGCTAAACTTGATGGTATCACCCCGATACGCATTGATCAGGTCGATCAAAGGCGTAAAGAAGGCCTTTTCCGCAGGCCAAATGGATTGCCAAACTGGGTTGGTTTTCTTGGGACATTTTGAACCCAAAACCAGGTTTCCAGGTCTTTTTTGGGCTAGGAAACAGTAAATAGAATGGTCTTCCTCCACATTTCACATCCAATTCTGGGACAAATGGTTCACTCTCTAGTCGTGATAGGAACCAAATGGGGATGTCATCAGCTCATCGCATTCTTAACCACAGAGATTCGAGAAACGTCTGCCCTTCGCAAAACCCTAAATTTCGGTGCTTGTGAGAATGGGAATTCACTGGTTGAGCATCATCTTACGCATCATGGGGGTCAGTCCGCAGCTGTCACCGAGGAACTGTTAGGCACTGCGACAGCAGCTCGGCGCCTCAGAGCACCCCGAAAGAAGTCGAAGGTCCTCAAATATTTCACAATTCACCTTAAGATGAATGCGTTTTTGCGCTCATGACTCATGACCTTTAGCTTAGCACTATTCGTCTACCCGATTTTGATTCATACCCCATATCCATCCAAATCAACCCTATGAAAGCATACATATCCACGAAACCCACCATAAATCCCCCAGGCCCTGTGCCGTTGCTCTGCTTGGCCAACTTCTCCGTCAGGGCCGTGAAGCCGCTCGCGTCAGAGAAGACCACACCTGGATGGGAATGAAAGATGGGAACTATATGAGATATGGCCAGAATGTGTGGGGTGTCATGGAGGTTAATAGAGGTGTTTCTTTCGGATTTGAGTTTTTTCTAATAGGTTTTGAGGGGGGTGAATTTCAAAGCAGAGTCGCCTCCAGAGCCGTTGTGGATAACAATCTGCTCTTCATCCAGGTTCCCTTCGTAGTAGGCCTGGCAGCCACCAACCGCAGCAACGGTACCGTTGCCGGCACCAATCCACATGATTCGGTCTCAAGCACTGTCCTTGCTGCTGGCCTGCTGTAAAATAAACGGCACAAATGCCAAAGCTCCATTCAGCGTCTGGGTGTTCTGGTCCTAAGCTGCGCACGGGGAACAATCTTTCAGAGTACTTCAATGGATAGATTTGAGGGAAGATTACAGAAAACCATTGTGGGTATTGGTTTGTGAGTTTTGCAGCGAAGAGCCAACTGGTCCTAGCTAAGGCTTGTGCGTTCAACCATTTCTTCACGTTGTCATCTAATTTGTCCACAGTGATGTTGGCTAACCTTGGATGGCAGACCATGGCTGATTGAGAATGTCTGAGACAGGTGACAATTAACCGATTTAATCATCACTCTGACCAGCAAATGGGTACACTCAGATTTCGGGACAAGTGGCACTTCCTCAGTTGTGCGGGGTTCATCTGCTATCTGCCCTGCAAACACGAGTTGCAGTTGCACCAGCACAAGCAAAATGCTGTGCATTTTTTGCACCGTTGAAGCTATGTGGCACCACATAGCACCGCACTCGGCCTGGTAAAAGATCGTCTGCTGACATTACTTGACCAACAATCTCCAATGGTTGGATCGATGGCCTCAGAGTTTTGCCAAAGTCTCAGCGACTTTGTCCAAACATAGGGTCCCAAAATCCAGTAAAACATAGTTTTCCCTCTTGAAATGACCATGAATTGGAGATAGATCCCCCGGTTTCAGAACACCGCCATTATTCATATTGTTGGTTTAAGTTTTGTCCTATGATGTCCAAACTGTTTGATCCTATTCAGCCTCGGCTAAATCGAAAGAATGCTGTTGAAAATCTCCCTATCGGATCCGCTGGGCTGCGGACGGGGAAGGTTTGATGCTACTTGGCCTGGCTGCAGTGCTGGATGCAGCAGCCGTTTTTCCGCCAAGGCTCGCCCTCCCCACCTGGGCTGCGGGGGATCATTGCAGCGTACTGGAAGGTACTGGACAATTACTGTTCAACGGGAAAACATTGGATGATCAATGATCAAATACGTACACATATATTACTATATATATATAATATATAATAGAAAATAGAATAGAATATAGAATAGAATAGAATAGAATAGAGTAGAGTAGAGTAGAGTACAGTAGAGTAGAGTAGAATAGAATAGAATAGGAAAGGATAGAATAGAATAGAATAGAATATATAATAGAATATATAAAAGAATATGTACTAGAATGTATAAAAGAATATATAATAGAATGTAGTATAGTACAATGTAATATAATATAATACAATACAATACAATACAATATAATATGATATAATATAATACAACAATATAATACAATACATTTTAATACAATATAATACAACAATATATTACAATATAATATAATACAATATAATATCATATGATATGATATAATATAATATGATATAACATGTTATATAATTTAACATATATTATATATAATATATAATATATACATTATATATTATAATATATATAATATAATATTTGGAAAATAATATATAATATATAATATATAAGAAATAATATATAATATTTAATATTTAATATTTAATATATAATATATAATAAATAAAACACAATATAATATATATATTATATAATATATAACATTCGATATATCATATAGTATATAGTATATAACAAATAATGAAACATGAAATAAAATATGTAATATATATTATATATAATATATATATATAATATACAATATATAATTTATAATATATATATATATACATATAACATAATATATAAAATATATATTATAATATATATAATATGATGTATATAATATATATAATATATATATTAAATATATAATATATAAAAAATATGTAATATATTTAGAATATATAAAACATATATGAATATATATATATATGTATATATATAACATATATATAATATAATATATATATAATATAATATAATATATATATAATATATATAATATATAATATATACAATATATATAATATATATAATATATTATATGTATATAATTGAACAGAGGATTTGGGCTCTTAAATCTGATGAACACTCCTGAGCACTGTTCAGCATCTTTTCACTCGGTTAGCTCGAAGGTAGCTAAAAGCACTAAAATGGCTGCAGCACGTATACAAACATATGTACTACATGTAACATGGTCTATACTGTACACATATCTGATCACGCCTCCCGAGCCTGTTCGGAGGCACGGTGAGTCCAAGTGTTTTGAACTAGGCGAGTTTTGATATGTACAGCGGAGCATAGCCACGACTCAAGCCATCTATGCCTTCAGTGTCAGGTGATGTTCACCTTCCAGAAAGTGAAAGTTCATATTCCGCAGTGCCTTGTTCATTTTCTCCTCTATGACGGGTTTCGTCAAGACGTCGGCAAGCATATCGCCAGTGTCGACCTTCTTCAGCCGAAAGTAGCGCTTGGCAACGCGGTCTTGTACCCAATGGTATTGAGTATCCGCGTGCTTGGCCTTGCCTAATCCTCTACGTGAACCCATTGCTATTCCTGCACTTGCATCCATGAAAACTTCACTCTCAGGTTGCAAACCCCAGTCTTTGGCGGTTGAAACTTCTCCCAGCAAATTGCTGGCACCGCTCACAAGAGCATAATACTCACTCTCTCCAGACGAAAGACTAACAACTCCTTGTCCTTTAGAATAAGTCTTGATACAACAACCACCGGCCATCAAGACGCCTCCTGACACGCTCTTCCTCGTCTTCACGCATCCAGCGTGGTCAGCATCAGACCACATCACAAATGGACTGAGTTTGTTCTGATGAGGAAAGAATTGTGCCATGCGTGGTCGATACCTAAGGTATCGTGCAACTCTTTTGAGCATAAGCATGTGGCTGGTAGTTGGTCGTTGTAGCCCTTGTGCTAAAGATCTTGTTGCTACTTGCAGATCTGGTCGGTCTTGTGCCAAATAAGCTGCTCGCATTGCAACTGATCTATACTGGGTTGCTTCTTCATCGTTGAGAAAAACAGCGGCATCCTTAAGATCTTCCACTGATCCTTTGGCAAGTGGTGTCTTGACTTTGGCTCCTCGGGGACCATCTCCGAGTAAATCAATCACCAACTCTGCGTGACGTGCATCTGGTTCCCACCAAATTCCATTCTCCTTCCACGTGATGATTCTGTTCAGGACTCTGATGTCCTGGATGGTGTTTGGTGTTCCTGGTGGTCCTAAAATACCACGTTCCACACATTTCCACTTCTTTGACAGCTCTTCATGAAGCCATTTGATGTTGTCAAATGTTCCTGCTGTTGTAAAATCATCTCCATGTACAACAGTTCTGAGGTCTCGGCCTGCATGGTAGTATATGCATGGATTGCTTTTTCCTTGCTTGAAACCTAAGGCCAACATGACCTTCTGTATTTGCAACTCCCAGTTGAGAGGTGCATCTCTGGTTCCATACAATGACTTGAGCAATCTTCCTACCACATCTTCTCCAGGCTTCTTTGCTTCTGCAGGAAGCTCCACATAAATCTCGCGCGTCGCATCTGAATAAAAGTGAGCGCGTTTCACATCCAGGAATCCTAGAAGTCTATGCTTGCGATAGGCTTCCTTGACAGCTTTTCCAGCGTCTGGCAACTGAAACGTGACGGCTATTGTAACTAGCATCTTCAAAGCAGACAAACTGGGCATGGCTGCGAAGAATTCATCAAAACCTGAGCCCTTCTTGACTTCTTGAGCTACTAATCTACTTCTATAAAGTGGATTCTCCTCATCCTGCTTGTTGACATCTACCCATCGTGTTCCAATGGTGCGTACCCCTTTGGGCATCTTGTGTCTGGGAATCTTTTCCCAAACTGGAAAACTTTCAATAATTTCGACCTCATCTTTTCTGGCTTGTTCTACACCTTTGCTGTCCAAAATCTTTCCACTGATATCATCATAATAATACCATGTAGCTGCTTCATCTTCCAACTCCGGTGGAAGAGGAATTGTTTCTTCGCAAACTGGCTCTTCTTCACCTTCAATGGACTGAAGATACCTCTCCCGATCTTCCATGATCAGGTTCATAAGACATTGGTCTATATCATCCATGTCATCTGGTCTCTCATTCTCAGGTGGCCGCTTGGTGCCCTTAGACGCCTGAGCTGAAGCAGCTCGGCTGTCTTTGGCTTTTGACGTCTCGCCTCCTGAGTCTGCAGGTCTCTTCTGACCTTTGGTTGGTGACATTTCCAACCTCTTGTGTGATCTTTCTTCGTGCTCGCCTCCTGCTCTCTTGGCTGAGGCTGAGCTTGCACTAGCTCCTACTCCAGTTGTAGTAGGATCTTGTACAGCTGGTCTCTGCATTGGACCGGCCGTAGAAGCTTGTACTACTGGACCTGATGTTCCAGCAGTTGGCAAACTTGGCGCTGATTCCCCTGTGGCAGAATACCACAGCTCAGTGACAATATCTGTGTCATCAATCAACGGTGCGTTGATGACGTCTTCTCCTAAGTTAGGATCCATTGGTTCAGACTTGATGATGTCTCCTGTCTTAAAATCTCTGGTGACTCTCCACCAGACGTTGTCCCAGTTGGGACCTTCTGGCATAGTACCCTTGAGATACCTTGCATTCTTGTCAAGGCGTGCAAACACCTTGAAACCTTGAGGGGCTCCTTGTGGTCTCTCACTTGAATATCCATAAAGGATCTGGGTGCCTTCTTCGGACACTTCCTGTTTCTGACCAGTGATTTCAGGATCAACCTTGGCTGTATGTTGGGCTACTCTCAGGTTGCCCTCTTCTGCTTGAAGCAGATGTTCCATCCTTTCTCTGCAGGCTGGAGTGTGATGAACTCCACTGCTTCTCTTGCCAATTCTAGTGGCATCGCAGGCGACACAACCAGCTGTGTAGCCATACTTGTCCAAATCACGTTTGGTGATGTAAAGTCGTCTTGTCGACTTCTTTGGTGGCTCAACTGGCACTGATGGCGCCAGTGGCTGCTGATCTCCCCCAACAATCTGAGGAAGCAAAATGTCATCTCTTTTTGATGCCTGGGGATCCCAAGGAACCCCAGTGACTGACATCAACGTTTCGACATCATATCTGTCGTCAGCACTCTTGCGTCGAATGCTTTGCACAGTGAAAACACCTGATGCATTCCCCACTATCTTTTCAGTGGTATTGTCTTTGACTCCCAAGAAAACTCCTTGGTGCCATCTTTGTTCAAACTTGTGACCTCTTTTGAGGAATTCAATTGTTTCCCCAAATGGTGGTAATGACACTCTCCACTCACGACCGCGGTGTCTAGAGTACGGTGTCTTCCCATCTTTGACTTCTAATGATCTGTGAAACAAATTGTAAGTGGTGCTAGCATGTTCAACCAACCATGTCAAAACTGGGTGGTCGTCTGGCACCTTTCTTCCATAGCTTGTCTCCAAGGCACTTCTGAGTGTCCTGGATTGAGATTCAATAGCTTGAACTGCTCTTTCAATTTCCCCTTTGGATTCTGAGACTCCTTTGGGAACTTTTTCCAAAACCAACTGTTTGTCAAAACCATTCTTGGCTGCCTCAACTACGGAGTTGAGTGCAGGCTCTGGGTCATACCTCATGACCATCTTTGG